TAGTGACTATAAGATACTGACCAAAATCTTGGTAAACAAGCTCGAAACTGTCATACCCAAACTAATTAACTCAGACCAGCAGTGTAGCGTACTGGGCAGAAACATACAGAACCACACACACTTAATACGAGACATCCTGCATTACAGCACACACAAAAAAAAAAACAACTCCAAGCTAGCGTTACTTAGCATAGACCAACAGAAAGCATTTGATAGGGTAGCACATACATGGCTATTTAAAACAATAGAAGCCTACAATCTAGGCAAATACTTCAGCACTTGGATAAAAACACTCTATATCAAAGCACACAGCCACTTACTTATAAACAATAACATTTCTACTGCCATACACATCCAAAAATCAGTTAGACAAGGTTGTCCACTGTCCCCTATTTTATACATCCTTAGTTTAGAACCCCTCTTAGAGAATCTTAGACAGGACATCACTATAAAAGGACTAAAACTACCAAACATGGCTGATAAAAAGATATTGGTCTACGCCAGGGGTCGGCAACCTTTTGAGACGGAAGAGCCAAAAGTTAAAATTTTGACTATTTCCCAGTTTTTAAAGAGCCACTGACATTTTTATTTCAATATTTTATTATTTTATTTGGGTTAGGTAAATAAATTTGCTTTGTTATTTAAAATAAATAGCTTTAAATATGAAATAATATTTATTCATATAAAAACATACACATGTTTCGCCAGAATAATGAAATTAGTAATAAAAAAATATAGGACTATCCCAATCCTCTTTAGAAGATGTTAATTTAAAAAAAAATTTTTTTACGATAACACCGGTTTAGGAGGTGTCTCCCATTAGTAAGAAGGTCTCAACACGGCAAACGCCGACTAACTGGCTTAGATATCGGTTTGGTTACCGCGTATCGGTCCCTTCTGTCCTTTGGTTCTCACCAGGCTTATCTTCCACCCCACAGAGCCAAGGGTATGCTCGTACCCCACAGTCCTGTACCCGGCTCAACAGTAGGAAGCTAATTACAACTACGTCACTCACGTCAAATTAATAATTACTGAAGGATAGGGAAATGCATTCTAAATTAACATTCACCAATTAACGTTATTCGAAAAAGTCAGCACTTTGGTAGTGTAACATTGAATTGTTGTCACAGGGCTGAGTGTTTTTATCATGTTTAAACTTGTGTATCCTTACAGTATAATTTTTGTTATGAGTTTTGAAAACGAAATAATATAATTATTAACATTTGTGCAAGGAACTGGAGAGCCGCACCGTGACACCAAAAGAGCCGCATGCGGCTCGCGAGCCGCAGGTTGCCGACCCCTGGTCTACGCCGATGACACGACCTTTCTACTTCAATCTGAGAAAGCCATAAAGACAGTAATGGAAAGATTTATCGACTTAGGTAAAGCCAGTGGCGGAAAAATCAACACGGACAAATCGAAGGTTATGGGAGCAGGACAATGGGTAGACAAAGACGACTACAATACAGACATCACAGTGGTGGACTAATTAAAAATTTACGGAATAACCTATACAGGCGACAACAAGTTGAAATACAATGCTACCTGGCTAAAGGTGACCGAAAAAATCCAACCATGCCTTAAAAATACAAAAATATTAACACAACGATCTTCGCCAGAGCCGCCTTAGTAAACAGATATGTCATACCTAAAATAATATTCATAGCAACCAATTCTACGATACCTAACAGATTCATAAAAACAACCAACAAGCAAATTATTGCAAGCAAATCCTCTATACTTGGTATACGAGAAAATAAAAAAGAATTATTACTTTTAGTCAAGGGAGGTGATACTGGATTAAAGTTTGTTTTATTTTTTTTAAACATCATTGTAACGTATCTTACAAATTTATGTTTAAAATATTGTGACACATATTTGTAGATATATAGATATATGGGTTTAATTTGCATTTACATTGCTTAATCTGTTTGCGATTTGATATGATCAAAAAATACCATTTATGAAACCTCTCCAGATAGAAAAACACACGAATTATTTATTTTGTATCAAACTTTTTTGCTTTGTTCGATAACTAGCCTATGCATGATCCCATTTACAATTTTTATTTAACTTGCTATCTCGTCTCTCTAGATCGCTACACCCGAGCGAAATATCCGGCACTTCTAAGTGACAGATTCGTTATTTTAACTTCATAACGCCCGTAAAAAAAATATAAAAAACAACTTAATCTTAAAAAAAATGCAGAAATTTATTATTTTTAGAATCAATGTTATAAAAGTTGCAAATCCAGAGAGCTTGAAAATAATCTTTTGAATTTAAGGCTACATTTCTATTTATTTTCATCAAGCCTAAGTTATAACCGGATGTTTCATATTTGTAAGACAAACATTCATTGGCTCTACATGTACTCCGTGACCAATAGTTATTTGTTTACAAAAATTTGCAGTTTACGTTTTTAAATAACATACCGCTATTTTAAACCACATGCCTAATTTTGCCATTTTGTTTACCTTTTGTATAATAAAAATTATGCTAGCCTATCCAATGTCATTGTTTATATCGCCATTTCCACGTGAAAGCCAAATAGCTTTTGCCTTTTTACAAGCTTTTATTTAACTCACTTCCTCTTTCTGTCGTCAGTCTGTCTAGATCGAAACGCCCGAGCAAAATTATGGGCACAGACAGATATAATTCGTAGTTGGTACGTGAGTCAAGACATGAAGACAATGCAACATGAGATTTAATTTGTCTTAATTGGTTGCCTAATTAATTTTTATGAATTAATTAAAATTTTTAATTAAACTTAATTTTTTAATTTTCAATTAAAATTAGCAGGCTGTCTCATCAAACTATTCCGCACTTCATAGTAATTTAAATAGTAGTGTAAAATTTATTTTCTACTCTTTAGTGCATTATTACATAAAAGCTTGTTATTTAAACGTTTATTATGAATTTTTAAAAAAATTATGTTTGATAATCCGAAATACTTAATCGTCAAATACATCTGCTCTTTTTTGTCCGAAAAAACCAAACAGGATTTTATAATCTCAACGTTTCATACGTCCGTGAATCAGAAAAAGTTAACTTTTGCAATATTATCTGAATGTCTGTGTGTGTCTGTGAACACAATAACTTGAGTATCTTCATATAAAAAAAATTATAAAATTTGTATCTCTGTATCAACTTTTCAGCGCTTTTTTAGCTGTAACCGAAAGCGGAACTTATTCTGCTTTCGGTTTTTTAAAAAGCCTATAACTTGAGTACTGTTTTTGATATACGAAATGTCACGTATAAAATAAAAGATCCAATTCTCTGTTTTAAGTCCAATTTTTAGTAATTTCCGGTGACCGGAAGTAGTACTTAACGATTTCTCAAAAAATGCTTTTGAATTTTTAAAGTATTTCCGCACTATTATACACACATTGTTGGCTGTTAACTTAGTGCACACATTCTTTTTTGGCCGATGCTAGCCGGAATAAGATACGCATGCGATACGCATGCGCAATGGAGAGAAACTACGACTTGCCTTCGCGGCGATGTTTTCGATGGTACTGCGCATGCGTGTATTTACAACCGCAGAACCCTAACACCAACCCTAATCCTATCCCTAACCCTAACCCTATCCCTAACCCTAACCCTAACCCTAATCCTATCCCTATCCCTAACCCTAATCCTATCCCTAACCCTATTCCTAACCCTAATTTTTAACGTTAGTCTCTTTTATTTTAAAAAGTTTAAGTTTGTATAAATTGATTAGAAAGCATGTCTATATCACGAGTTACCTTTCACGTAGTGTTATGTAAGCATATTCGAGAAAGTTTAGGGGAGATCACTCCAGCTTTATTTTTTCAAAGTTTTGTTTCATTAGATTGAATTAATCGAACTAAAATCAATAACCTTATCAGTCCCGTTTGTTTATAATAGGCTGATTACCTTCATTCAAATTTTTTAAAGTCGCCACCGTCGTTAACAACGTAATCAACGTTTCGTGTGTCGGTCCCATCAATCAATTATTGTTTGGAGATCTTTACCTCAAACATAAACAAACCCACGTAGGTAACATGATCGTGGTTCGGAACCAGGTCAGACGGCCTCCAAAATATTTTCTTAAAAAACTTTTGAATAGAGAAAGACTGAAAAAGCAAATTCGTAGAAGCCCACAGGGAGAACTACTACCACCCCCACCCCCCGCCGAAAATAATTTATCCAGAGAATATATACTTTTACCAGTGTCCGCCCCCCCCCCCCGCCCCTGGAAATTTTAGTCCGCCCCTCCCCCCCCCCCCCCCAAAAGTTTCAAGTGCCTCCCTTCCCCCCCCCCCCCCTCGGAGAAAAAAATGTTTGGAAGGATATGACCGGGTGAAACCTACCTAGTGACGTCAATTTGGTATCTAGTGGTATTTGTAGGTGTTTTCCCTGTGGTAACGGTCAGAAAATGTAAGACTTTATCGAAAGTTTATTAACTGGTGGTATTTGTAGGATTTTCCAGAAGTAACAGTCAGATAATATTTGACTTTCTCAAAAGTATATTAACTGGAGGTTTTTCCTTTGGCAACAATCAGAAAATATTTGACTTTCTCGAAAGTATATTAACTGTTGGTATTGATAGGGTTTTCCTGCGGTAAAGGTCAGAAATATTTGACTTTCTCGAAAGTATATTAACTGGAGGTTTTCCCTTTGGCAACGTTCTGAAAATATTTGACTCTCGAAAGTATATTAACTGTTGGTATTTGTAGGATTTTTCCCTTTGGCAACCAGTGTTTCTTCCAGACTTTTTTTCTCCGGGGGGGGGGGGGGGCACTTTAAATTTTCGGGGGGGAGGGGGCGGGGGCGGTAGGACTTTCTTCGCGGGGGGGGGGGGGGGGCGGACACTGTTAAAAGTATATATTTTCTATATAAATTCCATTTCGTTCGAGGGGGGGGGGGGGGTAGACTTTCATCGGGGGGGGGGGGGGGGGGGGGGAAAGGGCTCGCCCCGAAGATATTCCTAGAAGAAACTCTGTTGACAACGGTCATGCAATATTTGACTCTCCCAGGTCGGTGTCGGATAAACTGAAACAAGGGGAGCCCGTGGACCCGGAGACCTACGACATGGTGACCATATACTTCTCCGACATCGTCGGCTTCACGTCGTTGTCGGCGTCCAGCAGCCCGCTCGAGGTAAGCTCAAGGGTAGCTGTGTTTTAAGTCTTTTCAGGGATAGGCTATATATCCTTAATACTACCAGATGTATTATATTCGAATTGCATGAGCTTAAGACTACTAGTATAAAATTATTTCGTGAGCTTAAGACTACTAGTATAAAAATATTTCATGAGCTAAAGACTAATAGTATAAAAAGTTATTTCATGAGCTTAAGACTCTAGTATAACATTATTTCATGAGTTTAGAAGCAACTAGTATAACATTATTTCATGACCTTAAGACTAATAATATAAAAAGTTATTTCATGAGCTTAGGACAACTAGTATAACATTATTTCATGAGCTTAGGACAACTAGTATAACACTATTTCATAACCTTAGGACAACTAGTATAACACTATTTCATAACCTTAAGACAACTAGTATAACACTATTTCATAACCTTAAGACAACTAGTATAACACTATTTCATAACCTTAAGACAACTAGTATAACACTATTTCATAACCTTAAGACAACTAGTATAACACTATTTCATAACCTTAAGACAACTAGTATAACTGTGATGACGCAAGATTACGTCAGACATGTTTAGCAGATATAGGTTAGCAGAAACAGACTATCAATAGGCTTTAGCGTGTTAGTCAGAGGTAGACCAATGGAAATTCAGAGGACTGACCGGTCACGTGGTATGGTCAGCTGACCACTGAGGCGTGGGTCAGTAGAGAGATAGGCCGGCAGTTGATAGGTAGCTAGCGAAGAGGAGAGAAGGGTTAGGTAGCGGTCAGAGACGGCCGAGAATGTAAATAGTTAGGAGATCATGATTAGCTAGCGAAGGTAGAAGGTGTTACGTTGTAGAATGTAGAGAACAGTTAGTGTTAGGATTGGTCATGGGAGTTAGTAGTATAGTGAACAGTCAGTAGTAGTAGTAAACAGTAGAGAGTGTAGAGTATAGCTAGTTAGGTAGAACATGATTATATACATATGAATAAAGAACTTTGTATTTGGAACTTGAACTGTGTGTTATTGCATTCATTCGTTCCGCATTCATAAAAATCCCCACCCTCACATCTGGTGGAGCGCGGGTCGAGTGAGGGAAAGAACGTATATCAGCTATTCATGACGGAGTACGACTGGTGTACAGCTTTCTTCAACTCAACACAACAACGGGTTTCTTCAACCGGAACGAGTTTGGATTAACAACACAAGGAAACAGTCTACATGTCCAAAAAGATAAGTACCTTCCAAAATTTTTTTAAACGTTTGGGTTTAGACTCGTGCTGGATATTTGGTACCAGCGATTTTTTCTGCCTCTTTCTTATCTGTTTCTTCAACCACACTACCCTTAAAAATGCCTCCATTGTACGAAGTGGGCACTAAAACTGAGCTCAAGTCAGGCCTAGAAGAGTCAGGTAGAATTGATGACTTGTTTGCTATACACAAATGTTCAGAATACAGTTAAAATGGAACACAAAACAAGAACTATTGAGGATCCAGATATTCTGGATGAATTGATTATTAGGCTTGGACAATACACGACAACAGAAAATCGAGACTGGTTATTAACTGTTAAAGAATTTGACGTAAAAACTCTAGATGATCCAGATGTTATGGAAGATTTGATCAATAGAATTGTAGATTACAAGGTAACCGGAGATCCAGATTCCTTGTTGACTGAAGAAGAATATGATGCAAAGATAGATGCCGAGTTAGCAGAGAAACAAAGAGAAGCAGAAACATATATTGCCGGAATTAAAGAAGAAACAGAAAGAATTCGTAAAGAAATAGAAAAAATGAGAGAACTTCGCCAAGCCAAACAAGAAATGGTGCAAAGTTTAGATACAAATAAAAACAACCAGATAGCCGAACCAGCATTTTACTATTCCTACGACTCAGATTCAGATGACACGTCCAGTGAAGCAAGCGAAATACCTACTACAAAAAGTGAAACACCACATAGGCCTACACTCCAAAAACGTAATACGGCAAATCACACCATTCAGATTAACTACAGTCAACAAAAACACAAGTACAGTGTCAAATGCTACTATTGTAATAGAACAGGCCACAAACAAATAAATTGCAGAATACGATATTATGATAGACGCCAACAAGATGCACAACGCAACAGACCAAAATATAGACAGATAAATAGAAAAGCTTTTATGTCATCGTTTACAGAAGCCAGTAGAAGAACAGACATATTTACATCAAAAGTCAATAACAGATACGCCACAGCAATTAGGGATACACTATGCTCCACAGTGGCAGTACGTAACACATTCGTACAACACCACCAATACACAGGCAGAACACAACGTGTTCACAGTTCAAGAGGCAGCACATATGTTTGGCCAACAGCTATGGTCACCATAGCCACACCCTCGGCGTGTAAAACAGTTGAAGCAGTTGTTTTCAAAAACGGACCATACGATATGATATTAGGCAACATTACAGGAGTGAAGCAATTTAATGTAGAATTCATGAGTCACAAGCAACAAATAAACAAGCAGCCCAGTATTCGGAACAAAGAACAAGTAGACACAAAAGTAGACGGATTGCATTTCAAAACGGACAAGTTGATAGAAAAAGTTAACGAGGTTATTGATGATCATTCTATAAAGACTACTGAGATTGGTGCAGCTGTTCTTAACTTAAGACTGCAGAACGACACACTCAGTAACAGATTGCTGAGATTAGAGAAATCAGTTAACAAGGAACCAGAGGATTATATAACAAAGAATTTGATAGCAGAAAAAGAGTACGGTTACTCCTGGTCAGCCTTAAACCAGATGACCCCAGCAACACACCTACACAAACACAATTATAGTAATCATAGACCATGTGAAAGTTCGCAACACAATTGTCCACACCGAGCCCCGCCCTATCGATCCTAGTGTGGTATATTAATGCCTGGATAGAATTTGACCCGGAACGCCCCCACGAATGATTTTGAACAACGGACATAATTGTGAAGTCAAGTCGAGTTTTTGTGTTGATCTAAGTAGTCGAGAAAATCGGCGTGAAGTCGATATAGTTGAAGTCGAAGTCAGTGTAGTCAATCTGAAGTCAATAGTGTTATTGAAGTCAGTGAAGTATAAGTCAGAACTGAAGTCAAAGAAGTTATTTGAAGTCAGTCAAGTCAGTCAATAAGTTGTTGAAGTCGTAGTTGAGGTCATAGTGACGTAGTTGAAGTCATGTTGCAGTCAAAGAAAAGTCTTTGAAGTTATATTAAGTCGTTGAGGTCATAGTGAAGAAGTGAAATCGTCGAAGTTATAGTGAAGTCTTTGAAATCAAAGTGATGTCGTTGAAATCTTTGAAGTCAAAGGGAAGTCTTTGAAGTCATATTGAAGTTGTTGGAGTCAAAGTGAAGTATTTGAAGTCATATTGAAGTTGTTGAAGACTAAGTGAAGTATTTGAAGTCATATTGAAGTAGTTGAAGTCAAGGAAAAGTCTTTGAAGTCAAAGTGAAGACGTTTAAGTCGTCGAAGTTTAAGTCGGTCAGTGAAGTCTTTTAAGTTGAATTGAAGTGAAGTCGTCGAGGTCAAGTTAGTCTCCAAAGTGAAGTTAGTCGTCAAAGTGGAATCAGTCGTTAAATTGAAGTCAGTCAAGTTACTGAAGTCAAAGTGAAATAAGTGAAGTTATTGAAGTCAGTTAAAGTGAAATAAGTCAAGTTACTGAAGTCATAAGTGAAGTCAGTCATTAAGTCAACCAGCCAGTTTAAGTCAAGTCAGAAGTCAGATAGTGAGAGCTGCTCCACTATATGATTACGTATTCAAATGTTGATTTGAAACGGCACGATTAATTATACACACTTACATGTCTATTCTTTTTGTGAAGCTATTTCTAAGCTCTGGTAGTGTTTACGTCTATTGAGTTTATTAGGCTTTACAGATTGTTGTTAGATTAGAGTGTACTGATTTTTTTATTTGGTTATTTTTGTAATGTTATTTTTGTATGCTGTATGTACCGCCAGACAAATGTTCAGCACGTTTAAATTTGGGATTGAGGTTTTTTTTTAATGGAAGGTACCTCTGTCTGAATACTTGTCTACGCGGGCACTAAGATAGTCACGTAAAACCATTGCTCATGGTCTCGTAATACAATTTCAGACCCACCAGCGCTATTCAGAATGAGACGAGATGAAGCCGACACTTCAAAGAGTGCCGCCACCTGAAACCCTGATTACGTTGAATTACCTGGACAGCGAACAGCCCTGCCGAACGGAGAATTGCCCTGGTCAAGACAACGGACGCATCGCCACCGCTTCGCCCCCGCACTGGAGTTGAATAACAGACCGCCAGCTACGTACACCTACGTCGGCACATACAAAGGGTAGACGACCCATCGTCCAAGTTCCCAGCGTCGGAACGTTACGTCATTGTTCGCCACCGCATCGGACAGCTCCAGTTCATCGTATAATCACTCTACGTGGACGTCTCAACCAGCGTTGAGATGAGATTGTTGCGTCATCACATTGACCAACGAAAGTTACGCCTACACCCGCCTCACGGGAATGTACATCAAAACTCGCCACAACCCACCCACCACAGAGGAACGCCAGCTATTACATAACACATACACTTACACTGCTCGCAGAGCCCGTTCAACCAGTTACACATTCTACTAAGATTAGCTCAAGGCCAGTACAGGACAACCTAGCCAGAACTGAGTTACATATGATTAGATTCACACATACTATAACATAGACATACATTATCAAGCAGAGACACCACAGATGTCAGGATACTTACACAAGATCTAGAACAATGACATTTTCTTTTTTTCAGGAACACAAGATTTTATGTATTTGTAAACTGTGCTGTCCCATTTTGTTTTGATTTTTATGATTGATGTTAGGGATAGAATAGAGTAGTAAGATAGATAGTTGTTGATGTATTAGATTAGTAGCAGACGCTGAAAAATATAATTTGTCAGCTACAGAAAGGGAGGGAGATATGTGATGACGCAAGATTACGTCAGACATGTTTAGCAGATATAGGTTAGCAGAAACAGACTATCAATAGGCTTTAGCGTGTTAGTCAGAGGTAGACCAATGGAAATTCAGAGACTGACCGGTCACGTGGTATGGTCAGCTGACCACTGAGGCGTGGGTCAGTAGAGAGATAGGCCGGCAGTTGATAGGTAGCTAGCGAAGAGGAGAGAAGGGTTAGGTAGCGGTCAGAGACGGCCGAGAATGTAAATAGTTAGGAGATCATGATTAGCTAGCGAAGGTAGAAGGTGTTACGTTGTAGAATGTAGAGAACAGTTAGTGTTAGGATTGGTCATGGGAGTTAGTAGTATAGTGAACAGTCAGTAGTAGTAGTAAACAGTAGAGAGTGTAGAGTATAGCTAGTTAGGTAGAACATGATTATATACATATGAATAAAGAACTTTGTATTTGGAACTTGAACTGTGTGTTATTGCATTCATTCGTTACCGGCCTTCATAAAATCCCCCACCCTCACAATAACACTATTTCATAACCTTAAGACAACTAGTATAACACTATTTCATAACCTTAAGACAACTAGTATAACACTATTTCATAACCTTAAGACAACTAGTATAACACTATTTCATAACCTTAAGACAACTAGTATAACATTAGTTCATGATCTTAAAACTACCTGTATCTTAATTTAGTGAGGCTAATACTACAAATATATCCTAATTTAATAAACTTAATACTTTTATTTAAAAAAAACAAGTTAATGATTAGACACAAAAAAAGGCATAAATCTGTTCACAATATCAGCCCATCTCTATAAGTGGGTACGGCTAACCTAATGTGATGTTTCTCCACCCAGGTGGTCGGCTTCCTCAATGCCCTCTACTCCGAATTTGACGCGACCATTAGTCTGTTTGACGTTTACAAGGTGAGGTACCCTACCGTTACTGTGTGATTCGTACTATTTTTACTCTTTGGGTTCTGAAACAGTTAAACTCTACCCCACCTACAGTATTTATAACAAGTTAAATTTAGCTTCAGTTGTAATGTTAGTTTTCATTTATTTGTATTTCATTTTCTTTCTTTTTTATTGCTTTTTCTTGATTTGTATTGATTTTTCTTTATTTATATTAATTTTTTTCTTTATTTGTATTGATTTTACTTTATTTGTGTTGAATTATTTTAATTTAAATTGATTTTTTAATACTTGTATTGATTTTTCTTTATTTGTATTGATTTTTCGTTTTTTTTTATTGATTTTTCTTTATTGGTATTTGTGATAACTATTAGTCGACAGAGGCGTAGCGAGGGCGGGGCGGGGAGGGGGGGTGCGGACCGCACCGGGTGACACGATTTAGGGGGGGGGGGGTAGTGACACCATGGTAAAAGATTGCAAAATGTACAGAAGAAAAATGCTTTTTGCCAGTTCCATTAATGATTAATTAAAGGTAAATAGTCTTTTAAGTACAAATCGATAATTATTATAAGAAGCTGACACCATGACGTAAACATCCAACTGTATTATTAACAGACTATAGATAAACATTGTTATATATATATATATATATATATATATATATATATATATATATATATATATATTATATATATATATATATATATATATATATATATATATATATATATATACTTTGTTTCTTTGGGGGGGATGGAGGGGGGTGTCACCACGAAGTGCCGCACCGGGTTACACCCGACCTAGCGACGCCACTGTTAGTCAAAATATTATTAGTTTACATTTAGTTTAAATTTTGTTTGAAGATAAAACTAAAAAAAAACAACATAGAAACGGTAATTTTTTTTCCGCGTACTTTCGTTTCCCCCTATGAAAATTGTTTCCTTTTAAATTTAAAGACACATATTTAAATCGCCAGGTGGAGACTATAGGTGACGCCTACATGGTGGTTTCCGGTCTGCCCATCAGGAACGGTAACAACCACGTATTGAACATTGCCAGATTAGCACTGGAGCTGCTCAATGTGGTGGCCAATTTCGTTGTGCCACATAAGCCGGAGCATAAACTACAGCTGCGAATTGGGCTCCATTCTGGTAAGTCTGTTTACACTTTTAATAGTTTGGGCTCAATTCTCACCAGAGGCGTAGCGACCCTTCCCGGCGCCTGGGGAGAAACTTTCGATTTGCGCCCCCCTTCCTCAAACTTTTAATTTTCAGCTTTCAACTTTTTCCAATCCATTTTGGCGCCCCCCCCCCCCCCTAAGGTCGGTACCCGGGGGCCCCCCACCCCCCCTCCCGCTACGCCTCTGATTCTGACAAGTCTGTTCAAATATTTTTTTAGTTCAGGATCCGTTCTGACAAGTTATTGAACACTTTTTAATAGTTTGGGCTCAATTCTAGCGAGTCTGTTTACTTGTTTAATATTTTTGTTTGTGCTCACCATCTTTTGTAATGCATGTAATAAAATGTACACCGGTAATTTAGAGGCCTATATGTAAAATATTAAAATTAAAATATTATAAACTAACCGGTAAAGAAAAGTGTAACATTGAGTCGTCTCCCCCATCCTCCATCCTGTCATAATTTATTTTTATTACTCTAACCGTTAGAAGCTATGGTTTTAATTTCTTTATGTGATTTGTACTAACGTTAAACTAAGTTGATTGTAATGGTAATCAGTTTCTCTTTCAGGACTTTTTTCTTGGGGGGGGGGGGCTTGAGATTTTCAGAGGAAGTGGGGGCGGACTAAATTTGGGGGGGGGGGGGGGGAGGGTGAAGCGGATACTGGTAAAAGTATATATTTTCTATATAAATTCTATTTCGTTCAGATTGAGGGGGTGGTTAGACATTCTTAGCTCCACGCCCTCCCCCCCGCCCCCCCAAAGAGATGCATGAAAGAAACTCCGATGGTAGTATTTTTTAATTGCTGACTCAAATCTTCCAGGCCCAGTGGTAGCGGGGGTGGTCGGGATGAAGATGCCACGTTACTGCCTGTTTGGGGACACGGTCAACACCGCCTCTAGGATGGAGAGTAACGGCGCAGGTGAGTTTGACACTGTGAGGGACAGGTCTTGCACAGGTATGTCATCTGTATATCTGGTTATTCGACTTTCTCAGACCTATGTAGACAGGTATTGCACATGTGTATCATCTGTATATCTGGTTTATTCGACTTTCTCAGACCTATTGTGGACAGGTATTGCACAGGTATGTCATCTGTATATCTGGTTTATTCGACTTTCTCAGACCTATGTGGACAGGTATTTTGCAAAGGTATATCATCTGTATATCTGGTTTATTCGACTTTCTCAGACCTAAGTGGACAGGTATTGCACAGGTATGTCATCTGCATATCTGGCTTATTCGGCTTTCTTAGACGTATGTGGACAGGTATTGCACAGGTATGGTCATCTGTATATCTGGTTTATTCGACTTTCTTAGACCTATGTGGACAGGTAATTGCACAGGTATAACATCTGTATATCTGGTTTATTCGACTTTCTCAGACCTAAGTGGACAGGTATTGCACAGGTATAACATCTGTATATCTGGCTTATTCGACTTTCTCAGACCTAAGTAGACAGGTATTGCACAGGTATAACATCTGTATATCTGGCTTATTCGACTTTCTCAGACCTAAGTGGACAGGTTATTGCACAGGTATGTCATCTGTATATCTGGCTTATTCGACTTTCTCAAACCTATGTGGACAGGTATTGCGCAGGTATATCATCTGTATATCTGGCTTATTCGACTTTCTAAGACCTATGTGGACAGGTATTGCACAGGTAAGGTAGTAATTATCATGTGCATATCTGTCTTATTCGACTTTCTCAGACCTATGTGGACAGGTATTTCGAAGGTAAGGCAGAAATTATCATCGGTATATCTGGCTTATTCGACTCTTTCAGGTAGCACTAAGACTTATTACCAGTTGTATTAATTGTTGTCTAGATCTATTTCATATATTTGAAGTGATTCCTGTATAATCGATAACGCAATATGGTATCGGATTACACGTAGCTGTCATCATCCTCCCCGAAAAGTTGATTACAGTAATGTTCCCTTTCGAACCTGACGGTCTCTGGGGCAAGTGCAGTAGAGTTGCCCTGTTTTTATGACCTCATGGATCGGAAGTCAGCATTATGTCCAGTCGCCTTTACTTTCCCTAACCATAGCTGGGACGTTCTACGGACTTGAACCCGGATTCGAACTTCAGAATTTTGTGTTAGCAGTCGTATGCTCTACCATTCGACCTCGAATGAGTACCAGGTATAAATTTGATAAATATACACTAAGTGCTCAATATATATGATGACGTATAGTAAACAGCTCTGCTCTTGAACCCGGAATCAAACTCGAGACTTTCGGGTTAGCGCATGCGTACACTATACCATTCGACAACGCGGTGAAATACCGATTACTCTTGGTAAAGTTTGAATACCTGGAATAAATTGTTACTCTCTGTTCCAGCCCAAAAGATTCACATCAGCCACAGCAGCAAGACCCTGCTGGACAAGACTGGACATTTCCAGACCGAGCTCCGTGGGGAGGTGGAGATGAAGGTCAGTGGAAGGGTCACCAAGGTCATCTTTGGTGTTGCATAATTACCGAGCAAGGACTCGACTACAGCTACCGTATTATGAACTCAGTAGTCCAGCCCCTACAGTTCAGACCCCGGAAGTTCAGACCCCTTCGGAACTGACCCCTACAGTACAGACCCCTACAGTACAGATCCCTACAGTACAGATCCCTACATTACAGACCCCTTCGGAACTGACCCCTACAGTACAGACCCCTACAGTACAGATCCCTACAGTACAGATCCCTACATTACAGACCCCTTCGGAACTGACCCCTACAGTACAGAACTCCTGCAGTTCAGACCCACATTTCAAACCCCCATTAACTCTAGACCCTAACAGTCCAAACACCTTCATTCCCAACTCATTAGTACCTGTCCAGAATACTGACCCTAGAACCCCACAATCATCAAATCCCAACATTCTATATCCATCTCTGAAACCCTTGATCCCACACACAGAAATCCCGAACCCAGCTGTTCAGCACGTTCTTACGAACTACCCCCCCCCCCCCCCCCGCCTGCACCCCTCTCTGTTTAGTGATGCTCTTCCAACTTCTTTTATAGTTCATTTTAGTTGTTTATTTAACTACAGAATTAAAACCTGAGGTTTTGACTCTATAACAAAATTTAAAGCACACCTACTGAAGTTTATCATATAACTTTGCAGAGGCGTTGCGACCCTTCCCGGCGCCCGGGGACAAACTTTTCGATTTGCACCTCCCCCCCCCCCCTCAAGTTTTCCATTTTGCACCCCCCCCCCCTCAAACTTTCGATATGCACCCCCCTCAACCTTTCAATTTATTTTTCCAACCCATTTTGGCGACCCCTGAGGTCGGCGCCCGGGGACATATGTCCCACCCCCCCCCCCCCCCCACTCGCTACGCTACTGTAACTTTGCAAATTCTCTCTGTTTTAATATATATTTTTTATTCCATCAGGGTAAAGGATCTCAGACAACATACTGGCTTTTAAAAGAAATTCACGATGAACAGAAACACTCGTCATCTTTGGACTGTAAAGATATTGACAACGAAATGGACAATGAAACAGACACCGAGGCACATGATGGAACAGATATTCATCTAAACAACTCGCGTAACGCGAAGCTCACAACACACCCCCGTGATCCACAATGGGCAAAACAACACACAGTTTAATTCATCTGGTCGAGAAACTATTGCTATCAGTAGAAATGGTTGGGTGGCGGATAATAAAATACCAGCGAACAACATGAAAGAGTTATCAAAAGTAAATACTTGATGCTAAAGTAATGCGCATAATTCTAGACTAAGTGTTCTTACTTTGAGACCAATTGTAGATATCATCTTCGTTGTCCATCATCCCCCACTGTAGTATGCAGAGGCATAGCGACCCTTCTCGGCGCCCGTGGACAAACTTTCGATTGGGCGCCCCCCTCGGAAACAACCATTCGATTTGCATCCCCCCCCTCAAACTTTCAATTTGTACCCCCCCCTCAAACTTTCAATTTGCGCTCCCCCCCCCCCTCCTCTCAAACTTTTAATTTGCCCCCCCCCCTCAGACTTTCAATTTGCACTCCCCCCCCCCCACCCCCATATATTTTTTATACTTATATTGCAAAAACTGGAGCTAAAATGAGATTTTAATTTGTTTTTACAACCCATTTTGGCACCCCTAAGGTCGGTGCGGGGAAAATATGTACCCCCCCCCCCTCGCTACGCCTCTGGTCGTATGGGCCGCCAGCAAAGATATCCAGCGTCTTGCGACACTTCCTCAACTTGACTTCAGATGCTGAAGGCCGAACGATCAATTTTAAGCCCTACCCCATCTATGTATGGTATTCAAGTTATCGAAAAAGCCCCTTCCTTCCCGCTACCAGTAACTATCTTGATTTTGGTGTCCAACAATGGATGGAGAAGAAAGTTAAATCACTCCGTAAAGCCAAGTAGTCGTCTATTTTCTCAACTTCGATTGTCAATAGTTCAGTAATGCAGTTCAGAATAGGCTTTTTTTTTAAAAAATTCATTACGCGCCTTTAGGGTCGGTGCCCCACCCGCCCTCCCCTAGCTACGCCTCTGTCCAGATGTAGCACATCTTTGTAGTTTCACCTTCAATGTCCCGTCGCCAGGTGTTTCTTGGTGGACCCTCTTTTGAACTTTCCATGAGGGTTCCTCCTCAATGCCTGCCTGGTGATATTGGTTGGCAGTGTGCGCAGTGTGGGCCCTATCCAACTCCATCTTTGTTTTCCTTATTTCTTGATCAGCGGAAAGTTGTCCTGTACTTTCCCCATAGGTGTGTGTTCTCATGATGTCGGGCCCCGCCACTAATGCAAAAAAAAAACAAAAAAAAACAAACAAAAAACAAACAACTAAGTTAAGTCCCGCCACTTTTTGCCAGCATACACTCAAAACCTTGATCTATTTCTGATGTATAGACATATGAATATTTAAACGTACACCATCACAACAACTACTTATCCGCCTCTAGGGTTAAGGCTAGGGTTAGGGATGAAAAATAAAAGTATAAGTTTCATATCCTTGTAAAAAAATCTTTTTTTTTGGGGTGCGGGGGGTTAAATTTTTTGGCGTGGCTTGTATGAACATGATCCTTCTTTTTAACCGTAGAAATAAAGAGAATAAAACCCATTTAACAATACGTAAGAACAATGCTACAAATACAATTTTAAAATGTAGCCTATTTCGCAACATGAATTATCAGATGTTTATGTGGTATTGACATTTCTTACAATTATTTACATATTAAAGATATTTAAGCAAACAACTATCACTAACACTGACTCTTATTTTATTAATAATTTAGATAACATTAAAATGAAAAATTAATGTAAACTAAAATACAACTACACAGATGCATGTATTAGTTTTTCTTTATAAAATAACATGTTATGATATAATGATATGTAAATAAACGTTAGAAATAAAACAGTTTTTATTTTCTTCTTTCTGTTCGTTTATGAGCTTGTTATTATAAATGTTATTATTTTTTTAACATAGTAGGTCACAGTAGGTCAGTAGCGTACGCAGGGGGGGGGGGGGAGCAGGGGGAGCGGCCGCTCCCCCTCTGGCCATTTTCAGCAAAGTGGCGCCTTTTTGGAAACTTTTTAAACTCAAAGTTTTAAACAATGATATTTGTTAAAAAATAGTTTTGGTCGGCACATCTATGTAAATCACAAAATTTCTTTTCATGCAGCAATTAAGCATTATTGTACTAGTCTAGTAGTGTCTACGTTTACAACCCGTATTAACTGCTGCATTAGTTTGCCAATCTAAAAATAACAATAACGATGCATTGCAATGTTTAAAAAAACCTCTACGGGTAGTACCACTTGGCAAGAGGGGTGTTAAGTTTAAGGCAACTGCATAATGTATTTGCTTACGAATAATTGAATTAGAAAATGTTAAAAACTTCACACATAACACTTAAAAATTAATTTAAAAAAATAATTAAAATACCGAAACAAATACAAGTGATGTGGCACCTCTATTTAGATTTTCTTATGAGCAAACTGCGTAGTGGTGGGGAAATTTTGACAAGGTCAACAACGTCAGAATGATGAAGTAATAGTATTCTTACAGTTTGGGCGATAATGATTAAGATTACAAATTATATGAAACAGTTACAACCCCCCTCCCCCATGGACCTCTCGGTAAAAAAATATATTGTCATAATACCACTGCTACTTATTTAAATCTATTTCCTAAATATATATATTTATGTAATATAGATGTATGTTTAGAACAGTCATCAAAAAACTGATGCTATGTTCACTCTGTGTTGGTTATCTCCCCCCCCCCCCCCAACACACACACCTCACCACCACAATTGTGTAGAGCGACATTAATGTCACACCTAGGTATACACTGGGTTGGATAATTGATCTAAAGTGACCGGACAGTGGTGAATGAAGTTGAACCCCCCCCCCCCCCCCGAACTGATCTGTTAAGTACATGTAGAAAAACGCGTAATGATGTACCAAAGTACCATGCCGCCAGAAAATTAGCTTTTTAAATGTGAATGTTTTTGCAATTACCAGTAAAAAGGTGTGTGATCAATACAGTGATCTAACCTATACTTATCACTATGTTAAAAATGATCTTCAATTAACACAAAGAAGCAGTAGTTAATTAAAAATACATTATCTGAACTAAAAGACCTATGTCAGTTAAATGTCGGCTGTTATTACAAATGTTTCGATTATTTTGAAAAGCATGGAATTATACCAACTCTGATTTTAAAAACTTTCATTATGCTATAATACTTTAGCATTTATGATAACGATATATTCAATTCTGATTATAGACAAAACATTTTGTAAATACGAATAGTGTTAAACAATTTCATTATATTTTCAAATAATTATTTATTTGTTTTGACATTTTATATTATTTAAATGTGTAGATACATAAATATTTATATTAAGAGAGTTATTATTTCCCTATTTCACTTGTCTTAAATAATCTCCCAGGAATTATTATGTAAGATTTTTTTACAAGAATTACAAAACAGATTGTGTTACGTTCATTGTTTTTAGTTGTAGTGTGTGTATATTTTGTTTGTTGTTTTTTGTTTAGATTGATACAATTTTTGTTTAGTCGGCCTACATTGTGTGATTTTTTCTTATTTCTTCAGAGTGCTACTTTCAATTTATTTTACATCATTGCGAAGTAATGACATACAGCTAGTAATTATATATATATATATATATATATATATATATATATATATATATATATATATATATATATATATATATATAATACACGTATATAGAACGTGTTAAAAATTCGGCGCCTTTTTTTGCTCTTTTCGCTCCCCCTACAACGAAAACCTGGATACGCCTCTGCAGTAGGTCTATCATTCTATTAGCTACCATCTTTCATTGATAATAATACGAAATTGTTTTTAAAATCTTTCTGGAATTTTTAAAATTAAGGGACCACTTGGTAGGTTGGTTAGTAACAAAAAATATCATTTGTAAATATGTGACCCATGTGTCTTGAGAAAATTTGATTTGGGAAACTGGTTGCCAGTGCCAAACAAGTGACTGGATTCAAACCATGACCAAAATTGGAGAAACCCAAATTTAGTTAAAGCCTTCTACAAGGACGTGATTTGGGGAATATAGAGAGAATTGTGAAAAGGCTGTTGAAAGCAGTGATCTTCCAGGCATCTTTTCGAAATGGAATTTATATAGTAAATATATATACTTTTAGCAGTGTCCGCCCCCCGGAAATTTTAGTTAGCCCCCCCCCCCCGAAATATTCAAGTGCCCCCCCCCCCCCCCTCCAAATGAAAAAGTTGGGAAGAAACACTGGATGAAAATCTTTAGGAAAACAGTAAAACAGTCGTTAAAAACACTCTTTTTTAAAAAAGAACAGACACTTAAGATTGAGACAGTCAAAAGAGATAGAAGCAACGGGCATACACACACACACACACTTTCTCACACACACACATATATATATATATATATATATATATATATATATATATATATATATATATATATATATATATATATATATATATATATATATATATATATATAAGCAAAACACTGAAATTGGAAAAATAATTAAAACTATAGTATAAATAAAACCCGTTTAAGGCGGTCGATAAGTTGTATTTATCTCCTACCTTTACCATAGTAGGTATTTTATTCTCTATTGTTAGTCAGCAAGATTTTGAATTAGCGTAATCTGTTTTACCGTGTGTTAAGGACGTGTTTTTTTTTTTCAAAAATAAATATTAATAAATAAAGTCAGAGAAACAGAAGGTCTTGTAATAGAATATTGACTGTTAGGATCTGACTCAAAATTGAGATGAAAATTTCAGCCCTGGTATACCAGTTAGGCCTATATTTTTGGATGGCCATGTCAGGGTTTCTTTCAAACCTTTTTTTTCGGGAGGGGAGGGGGGCGACTCACTAATAGGTCTCGGCTGGGAGTGAGAACTGACATTGGTTATAGCAGAGGCGTAGCGAGGGGGGGTGGGGGGTAGCGGACCGCGCCGGGTGACAGCATTTAGGGGGGGGGGGTGACACCAAGGCAACAAATAGCAAAATATATAGAGAAAAACTTGAGGAGGGGGGGTGCAAATCGAAAGTTTGAGGGGGGGGGGGTGCAAATTGAAAGTTTGAGGGGGGGGGGGGGGTGCAAATCGAAATTTTGAAAGTTTGTCCCCGGCCGGGAAGGGTCGCTACGCCTCTAGGGGTTGACACCATTAAGTGCCGCACCGGGTGACACCCGACCTCGCTACGCCACTGGGTTATAGCTTATATTTTCATTATAAATTATACATATCTATATTTCTTCCGTGGGGGGGGGGGGGGGGGGGCGGCTTGTGGATGTGAGAAGAGAAGCCTGAGTTCCTGAGAGAAACTCTTGCCACCGTCAGATCATAGCTGGCTGATTATATCATATTACACTAGTTCAGCCTTCATTTTGAAATATGTCGAAAACGTTCTATGACTCATATTAATTTTGCTTTATGACACCAAAAAATTGATACAACTAGATGTAGGCTTACATATTCAAGATGTTAAAAAAAATTCAACGAACATTTGTAGTCTTATATCTAAATGAGTCACAAGTCTCAAAGCTTGAGAAGTCATTCACATAATTACTCAGTTTGTTGATGATGATATTACAATAAAAACAACGTAATTACGATTTATTTCCTTAACAGCTTTCTTTTAAGAGAAGAATCATCTGCCTAGTATCAGAAGTAATATGATTAGTGTACAAAAGAAAATTTATTTTCGAAAGAAGCCTGCACCGATAGATACTTGGTGATCAATTTACCTGATTTAAAAATTTTGAATAGGCCTACGTTATTATAAATACGTTTCATTTTAAAATTATCACTAGTTTTCGGTATTTATTTGTTAACATTTTCTGTATGTTTCATTCGTTAAAAACTTGTATCACAGGACTTCAATTGCATTAAAAAATAACGAAAGTAAACGGTGTTTTTGTAGGTAAAAATATCTTAGATGATGCTTTATTTTATAAACATTTTTTGTTTTGAATATTCCATTAGTCTAGAAACTCTAGATCTAGTCTAAGCCTCTCTAGCACCAACGTTACAATGAAAGAAGATATTGTAACTTAGTGTTATGTGGGTGGGACTGCACATGCCACAGCAGAGGAGTGAGTGCTGATCAGAACAGTTGAGTCCAGTGACTGTTCACAGTGTCACTAGATCTACAACTACAATCTCACCGAGTACTCGTGTACACATCAGTCTGCACTGTTGCTACACTGGTGTAAATCTTGATCTAGCTAGTCTAGATTCTACATCTAGTAGCAGGTCAAGATCTTATTTTAGGGCCTAAAATGTTCTTAAAATCTAGATAAATATTCTATTAAATACTGGTAGCAAGTAGATTAAGATAGAAGGTAATCTATCGTTTTGGGTATGTAAAATCACCGGCGGCTATTAATGTACGGAAACGTTACCTCATTGTCAAGGCTTTAATAGAAGTATATTGTGATATGTTTGTGTCAAATATTATAGATAGGCCTAAATGTCATAGGCCTAATAAACCTAAATCAATTTTCTAAATATATCAATATAGGGTAATCTATCGTTTTAGGTACGTAAAATCGCCCGCGACTAGTAATGTGAAAAACAGGTGACTCCTTACATTTTAATAATTATTTCACATTTTGAGGAGGATTTATGTTTTGAAAAATACAAAAATGTTTCCTTGTTTCATTTATGTACCTGTTTCTAAACAATTGAATTAAAACTTTTCAGTAATAAATGAACACCAGTGATGTTTCCAACAGATGCAACCATGCTCATTTACTATAGCAGCCATCTTGTTAAAGTTTTATTTTTATAGACTTATAGCGCAAGATTCAGTCGGAAGACACTGCTGTTTAAAGTTAATTTCGGGCCTATATTGATATATTTAGCCATTGATTTAGGTTTATTATTCATTTATCTATAATATTTGACACAAACATATCACAATATACTTCTATTACAGCCTTGACAATGAGGTAACGTTTTCGTACATTAATAGCCGCGGGCGATTTTACGTACCCAAAACGATAGATTACCCAATATAGTAATATAGGCCAGAAATTAACTTTAAACAGCACTGTCTGCGAGGAGATTTGCTATATAAACAGCAGCCATTTGTAAAATAGAGTGGCTTCCCCCTGAATCGCTTATAAAAATAAAACTTAAATAAGATGGCTGCTATAGTAAATGAGCATGGTTGCATCTGTTGGAAACATCGCTAGTCTTCATTTATTACTGAAAAATTTTAATTGAATTGTTTAAAAACAGGTACATAAATGAAACAAGGAAATAAGATAGTATTTTAAAAAACATAAATCCTCCTCAAAATGTGAAATAATTATTAAAATTTAAGGAGTCACCTGTTTTTCACATTACAAGTCGCGGGCGATTTTACATACCCAAAATGATAGATTACCAGATAGAAATAGATAGATCTACTAATCTAGATCTAGTCAAGAAATGAATGTTGAATGTAGAAATGTAGATTTTTATTGTAGATGTAGATCTAGTCTAGTACAATATGAATATATAGCCTATTTGGTAAAACTCCATTTTAGCATATTTTGAATTATTTTGTTCTCAGCTTCACGTACACATCCGGTTAAGCGTATTTTATTATAAACTAAACACAACCAAAATGCACACAAGCACTAGGATTAGATCTAGAGCTACTTACATTTTATTTAATGAATGTGTGTTTTAATTAGAACAGGTTAAAAACATTAAAATAAGCATTAGGCTTACAGTAATTACAGTTACAATTAAAATAGCATGTGATCGCTGGCTCACATTTTCTCATCAGCGGGAGAAAAATCCCTACACTACATGATCAAGGGTTCACCATCAGTTCACATTCATTTTAATTATCATAACGTCATAACTATTTGAAATTATGGTGACGTCAGTTTGGAGTCAATGTGAGTTCATATAAGTAGGCCTAAATAGTATAATTCGTGTGTGATACTTGTAATTAACAATACAAACTTAACCGCTTTGCAATTATGAATTATAAGTTTTGTACTTGACCCATTGCCATGAAATTTTAACTGACAGGAACATATTTTCAAGAGTAAAACAAGAAAAAATCTAGATCTGCATATTTAATGTTTCAAATTTGGATTTTTCTTAAGTTTTGACGAAAGCAAATTATCAAAAACTAAAACAAAATACATAAATAAATAGGCCTAGGCCAAGTGTTTTCCTAACATTTTTGTGTATTTCGGTTGTGTTTATAATAAAATAGGCTCAAGTGGAGGTGAACGTGAAGCAGGGAATAAAATACTCTAAAATGGGAGTTTTACCCATTTTATATGATATTTATGATAAAATAATATGATAATACACACAACATTATTATCTTAACTTTATTATAATAATATTATTAGGTTTAGACTTAGGCTATATTAAATTTTTTATTAGGCATTAGATGATTAGGCTAATGCAATTAATTTTTGCTAATCATACAACAAACTTTGAAGTTAAAAAAAACTATTAGCTATTAAAAATAGAAAACAACCCACAAACGAGTTTTGTATAGTTAGTTATTTATAGGATTACTTAGGTCTTAGAGCCTATTTTCTAGACTAGTAAGTATATGCCTAAATAGTATAGATCTATCTAGACCAAATCACATATGACTTGTTTTAATAACTCATCAGGCCTACATTATTTTTAAAATAATTATTTTAATTAGACCTAATCTCACCTCTGAGAGGTTTTTTATATATTACTTTACTCTTGAATTATTAGTGTTAGATCCACTGCACTAATCTTACACTCTCAATTAAGTATTGGATTTAGAGAAAAGAGCATAGTTATTAGTATTACTATTAGCCTATTCATTATGAAAATTAAATTTCTGTCCTGAATTATGCTATCACTACAACTTTTTTCATTTCAGGCTAAAGAAAACAAAGTATCTTCAAGATGACGTCCATCTTGTATCTGGTTATATGCTGCACCTTTATAGCTACTCAGTCAAGAGAAATGCCTGAGGATGCCAGCCTTCATACCATTATTGTGTTGGTCGGAGGGACTGGAGACTTGGCAACTAAATACTTATGGCAGGGAGTATTCAACATCTACCATTCTCACATGGATAAGATTTACACGCACGACCCTCAGACCATTGGCAGCATTCCTGTTGTAACCAATCACACCTATGATTTTTTCACGGCTGCTCGTTTGGGGCAGGACGACGGCAATGCTGCAGTGAATAAAATTCTTCGGAATAATGTTACTTGTGAACAGGAAACAGAAGAAGATAGAGATCTTTATATTTCTCTATGTCAAAAACGGAAGCAGGAATTTATTGATAAAGTCAGCTATGCACCATTGCAGAATGCTGATGACTTTAGCTTTCTCTGCTCAAAAATCATTTCAAAATTTTCGCAGTCACTTGAAGACACCAAAAAGGAGATTTTATTGTACATGGCTATTTCTCCTTCAGCATATGAATCTGTCTTACAGAATTTTGATAAATACTGCCATAGGCTTCGAGAACTTAAAGTAGGTTTTAAAGTGGCCCTGGAGAAACCGTTTGGGTTGGATAAAGCCAGCGCAGAATCTATGTCAAAGCAGATTTTAAAATTGTTTGCCGAAGATGAGATTTACAGAATTGATCACTTTTTGGGTAAACCAGTGGTCAAATCTATTCTTCCTTTTAGGTATGTATGCTAAGAGTATTTATACAGTATTAGGTTATACTTTAAATAAGCTATAATGCCTTTTTTGTTTAGAGTTTAATATCAAATTTTGTTTTGTTTTTAATTCAATTTCTAATACTTAAGAAAATATTCATTGAAAACAATGTGTTGTAATTTCAGTTTTTTTAATTTTGCTCCTGTTTTTCAGATTTCAGAATCCTGAAATTGAGAAATTACTTGACAAAGATCATGTAGAAAAGGTGGAGATTTTCTTAAAAGAAACTGTGGGAGTTGATGGTATGTTTGAATGGCACTGTGTATTATAGTGTATATGTAATCTAATTTGACAATAGTTAAGTTAAAAGTTAAAGCATCTTTTTGGTATGTTGAAGTAGAGTTCCCATTTCTGTGACACTATACATAGAAATTGTGTAGTCAGCACTATACAGTTTTACTTAGGTCATAGGGTTGGGTGTTTCAGGGATGTTCTAAGAAATTAAGCACAGGAGTACCAAAATCCTTAAATTTTGGCCAGAAATCTTGTGTTCTAAGTGTAGTGGACTGTTCTTATTTCTGTTCTCAGAGTTGTAAAGTGAGGGGTAGTTTATTGCCAATGGAAAGCTCATATTATACATCATCTCAGTTTCTAGTTAAGAAATCAGGCATTTTAATATGAAATTAAATTTAATTGTACTTTTTCTCTGCTGAATTGAATATTAATAAGTGATTGGCAATTTTAATATGAAATGAAATAAAATTTTACTTTTTCTCTGCAGAATTGAATTTTAATAAGTGATTGGCAATTCTAATAGGAAATTTAATTCTTTGTACTTTTTCTTTGCAGAACGAGTTCACCTATACAACAGTCTGGGTGTGCTGCGGGATATGCATCAAAACCATCTGTCCCAGCTGCTGACACTTGTTGCTATGGATTTACCCCCGAACATAGGAGACAGCGCCAAAATCCAAGAGAACAAAGAACGTCTCTTGCATCAAGTAGAGCCAGTCAGGCGCCACAACTCTCTGTTTGGCCAGTTTTCCGACTACGCAGAACTGGTGAAAAAGTTGGAATCAAATTTCTCGTCTGCATCAGATGTTCCTACTTTTGCTGCCACTGTTGTAAAGATCAATTCACCACGATGGCGCAGTGTGCCATTTCTGCTAGTCTCAGGCAAGCAACTTGATAAAAGGGAGAGCTATGTCCGTATTGTTTTTAAAAATAACTACGTCTGCGTTTCTCATTGTGATGACGAAGCTTTGGTTGAGGAAAGCAGGTACACAAAACAAATTATCTTCCACATCGGCCATGGCAGTGTAAAAAGACCATCAATTTTAGTCTCAAAATCATTTAAACAACCAGACTGCCCGACTAATTTTCTGGAGTCCATCGATCCAGTTTTATTTTCCAAATCTTTAGTATACGGTGAAGATAAAAAACATTTTTATACGTGCACTGTTATTAAAGATATCCCAGCATATGAATCTATTCTGAAAAATATACTTGCAGGCAAACAAGATAGCTTCGTCAATACTCGACTTTTAATCTTATCCTGGGAGATTTGGGATTATCTGGTTAGTGTTTCAAAGAAAATTCATTTTTATAAAAAATCTGACCCTCAGGGTCATTTAAATTTTATAATTAAGGAAAGCCAGTTGGAGTTTATCCATGACGATGATGAAAATGAGTTCACTGTAGTAGATGAAGCGGTCATCACTCACAGTGAAGTCACCCATGAATACATACAAACCCCTGCTTTATTTCTTGGTAGGAAACTTATTACAAGTCATTCCGATCATCTGGCGTTCTTGATAGCCAGGGATATTGACCACGCGGCTGAGATTGAGATACAAAACAAAGGCTCGTTTCATGTTGCTTTCTCAGGGGGATCATCTCTAATTAAAGTGTTTCAAATGTTAGCTCAGTCCTTTGCTAACTTACACTGGCATTCAGTTCACGTATGGCAGGTAGATGAGAGATGCGTCCCACATCAAGATGAACGCTCAAACTTCCAGACATTGGATCGGGAACTCCTGCGTTTTGTGGATATCCCCTACTCCAATATCCACGCCATGCCTGTGTACGCGGGAGGGCGGCTGTGTTCCGAAGAGCTTGGCGGCGCTCATGCTTATGCTGACGCATTAAGACACAGCGTACCCAATTCACAGCTGGATTTTATAGTGCTAGGTGTAGGTACTGACGGCCACACGGCTTCTTTGTTTCCATCAAGCTCAGCACTGCACGTTGACAGCAATACATTTGTCGTGACGACAGACGACGGCCCGGCCGATACAAGCCACCGGATGACCTTGACTTTGCCTCTGATCAACAAAGCAAAGAGGGTGGGGATTTTTGTGACGGGGAAGCACAAAAGGGAGATAATTAACCGCCTGGAGTCGTCACAGTCTGCTGATAATTACCCCATACTTGGAGTTAATCCGGTCAATGGTACAGTCACTTGGTACATGGATTACAGTGCATACTCTGGTGGCGTCATTACTTTATAATGTCTCTAGCTTGTCGTGTTTGATATACAGATGTAACCACTTTGATGGATCGTTATAAGAAAAAGCTCAGATTGTCACATTACATCTACCAACATATTAGCTGATGTTAAATTGTTATTCCAGATGTTGTATTAAGGTAAATTTCTGCTTAAGGTAAAAAAAAAAGTTTTTTTGTTTGTTGTCATGATAAATACTGTTGCCATGTCCATGTTGTTTTTGTTATTGTTTTCTTCGGCCATTTTGAGGTCATGTTTTTAAGTAAATTTTAACAGTTCAAGTTTTTTTTTATGATGTGTTATTTTAGGGGATGTGTTTAATAACAATAACATTGATATATTTTAATTATTTAATTCATTTAGTTTAAACTTCCATGCTAGTATATTTATTTTTTTACAGTTGTAATTTTCATTTAGTGATACTTTGTTGTTTTTTTGTCAAGGAATATGGGTTTTCTAGGGTTGTTATGCTGCACCCAATCAGTTTTAGTTTAACACCATCACTGTAGGTTTGACATTGTTCAGCAGATATACAGCACCCTAGGCGTAAAGGTATGTATAGATGAAGTAGAGTTTATCTGTATTTTGGGACACATGATTGTGAGGTCAGCGCCATACAGTCTTCATTACTTCAATTACAAATGGAATCTGTGATTCCCTAATGACTCAAGCATGAGAATCGAACTTCAGAGTATCAGGCTAGCCAACTTGTGCTCTACCACTAAACCATGCCACTCCACACATGTCATTTAACAATAATCCTAAGTTTTTTTATACACCTTTCTACAATGTTTGAGCTCCCTAAGTATTGAAAATCATTTGCAGCCCCACATATCACTTACTATACATCTTGTAATGTTATAACTAAGTATGAAAAATGTAATAATAGATTTAGAAGAGTGTGTTGCTAGTATTTAGTAAAATTCTAATGTTGCCAGTATTTAGTAAAATTCTAATTCTAATGTATCCAGTATTTAGTAAAATTCTAATGTTGCCAGTATTTAGTAAAATTCTAATGTTGCCAGTGTTTTGGAAAATTCTAATGTTGCCAGTATTTAGTAAAATTCTGTCAGTATTTAGTAAAATTCTAATGTTGCCAGTGTTTTGTAAAATTCTAATGTTTCCAGTATTTAGTAAAATTGTAATGTGCAATATAGATACAGTCTGTTGGAGAAAACCTTTTATAAAACACATTTCACCACTTTAGCTAAATAAGTTTGAAAACAAAGTCTATGACAGGCAGTCACCAATGGAATCAAAGATATATGTAATACATTCCAATTTGTAATGTTACAAGATGATTTCCTGTTTAAATCAACAGCCAAGAAATCAAATATAATTGAATTGTTTTTGTTTTAATCAATATAAAGTAAATGTATTCATGGAAGTTAGTTTTATTAATGTTTTTAGTTGTTACTTAACTTGCTGAGAAACATACTTTGATTATTATAATATACTTGTGTTTATTTTTTCTCTTGGATGTTTAAATACTCATTGGTTGACCAAAATCTTTCCATATATGAAAATAAAAAAGTGCAGGTGTTCTAGTCTAGTTGTTTATGTCAGTTCCTGCTGGAGCTAAACTTTGGCTTTAATGATAAGCTACTTACAGTGTATTATCTAGTGTATCATTGCTGGAGAATACTTTAGCATAATACCTACATTTGTGATACAAATTTTAACCCAGAATTATCTATATATATAATTCTCTTCTGGGAGCCTTTAGAAAACAAGCTGCAAGCGCGCCTTACAGTCCCCTCTCTTCCTCTCTATCGCTACCACCCCCACATGGCCTGGTAAGCTGTGGTTCACGTTGTTTACATTTTACAATCATAGAGACGGGTTTGGTGACGGCTATTAGGGGCAGATAATTTAGTTAGAAACGATTTTAAACTGAGGAGGCTGCTTTCACGTGGGGGGGGGGGGGGGGGGAGGGGGGTTTAGTGTTTTTAAGCAAATTTTTTCAGTGGCAGCATTGGTACTGTCGAATTCACAAATTATAAATTACTGAAAAGTAGAAAAAAAAACAACTAAATAGCGGCGTATGATACGCAGCGGGTCGGCTCGTTTAATATATTAAAAAAATGTATCTGAGTCATTTGGTACCTCAAAAAAGTGATTTAAAAGATAAGTGGTATTTTTAAACCATTACTAACATGTGTATGAATACATACTCATAAAATTGTTATCCTACACCAACTACATTTATTTCAGCTGTTTCTAGAAATACACCGAGGTGCAAAACACTAAAACCATGGTAGCCTTTTTTTTTAAGTAGCGTCTCCTCTTACGTTATAAAGTTTTCTTTATTTTAAAAGTCCACAGGTGATTTATCAAGTTTCTTTTTTCCCCCATTATTGTGTCCTGTTTTTCCTTCGCAAATTTTGTCATAATCCAGTTATCATTGCATTTTTAATTTTGGTATTTTTTAGTTTTTTTTTAGTAAGTAAAATGTCCATTCATATACATTGTTTTATAAATGTTTTAAACTCATTTAAAAAAATAAAATTGTTATCAACTTTCTGTTTGTTTGAGATTCACTCATTTATAATTTTAAAGCAAAAGCTGTTGTTTTAAGAATAAGATAGGCATACTTTCTATTTTCCAATAGGTTTATATTTAAAAAACAAAAAGCCATGTCATTTTTTACTGTAGCTCATGTAACAGGGAAGGGCAGTAATTGTGTCACTATCATTGCATTTATTGACTCAACTAACTAAAAACCGCACTTATAATCAAAGAGATTTAAATATTTCTCTCGTATGAATTATTTGTGTGAATTCTTTAAAGTATATTTTCTGGTACTTGATTCAGGTCAGCCTAAAAACAAGGGAGAGACTGGCTGCAGACCTACTCCCAAAGAATACGGATACTTTGATATTGGGCTCCATACATTTGCTGTAGTAGATAAATCATGAGATGGATAGTTGTTTCATTTGCAAACACGAAAACCCTAACTGGCAGTTCATTTGCTTCATCATCATTTCCTGTTCGTACACAAGACACATGGGGCAGATGAAGTAGAGCTCATCTGCTTCAGAGACCTTGGCATTTGAAGGGATAGCATGGTCCGCACTATGACCAGCAGCCTTTGTTTCCCTAACGTAGGTTAGGTACCCATCAGAGCTGGGTGGACTCAGCAACATTCCACGGATTTGAACCTGGATTCCAACTCGAGACTTTCGGTTAGCAGTCTAGCTAGGCCACGCCATCCCATAATTCAATTAAAACCTCCCTCCCCACATACAAAAAAACAAAAAAAACAAGCATAGCTTCAGATATTAGGGCACAAAACACAAAAAAGGAACCAATTAAATGAAAGTTTATTTAACAAATCATGCTAAAGTAAACTAGAAGAAAAACTACATGACCAGCCCTGCTGCTGGTAATAGACCAAAAGGCACATCACATTGAGCAGGGTTCTCTGCTGATACATGTATGCATCCTGTAAAGAAGGACACACTGTCATAAAACAAAAAAAAATACACACCACCAAGGTTAAACTTTTAACCGATGCTGATGTATATAGCCATAACATGAATGGCTTAAAAATGGAAATAAAATAGTAATGACCAATACAAAAACCTGAAGAGAAATACATAATAAAAATAACATGAAAGGTCCTGGCATAGGCAAGATACAGGGTGCAAAAATACAAAGAAGAAATAAGCAGCTAAAGTCTTAACATGGACATATTGTCAGTCTTCATAAATTCCCCTAACAATATCAGTTAATCAAATAGATATTGGAGTGATTTATGTCAGCATTAATAAATTCAATAGCAGTGAAATAGGTACTTTGTGGGATTTATGACAGCCTTCATAAATTCACCTAAAAATAGCTAATAAATAGGGGTGTAGGAAAAAAGGCTGACATACAAAAGACTGACATCCAAAAGGCCAACTGGACATAAAGCCGACAGACTAAAAGGCTGACAAACCATAAGGAAGACAAACATAAAAATACTAATATCGTAAAAAGTGTTACTACATAGCTCCTATATAGACAACCATTGAAGAACGAAGTCAATGGCCGCAGGCATGAAATAAGGCTGAAAGTTCAAGAGATGATCCTAGTTGCTGTGCTGATAAGGTGAACCATCAGGTCCAAGCGACTGAAGATTACGGGAGTGTCTTAAACACAAAGGATCAGCACCTAAATATTGCAAAATACTGTCACTACTGTCTTTCATATCTCCTTCTATGTCAACAAGGTGAGACAATCATCAAAGAACCAAGTCAAAAGCCACCTGCATCATCACGCACATGCGATAAGGCTGAACGCCAAGAGACAATGCTTGTTGCTATCCTTATAAGGTGAACATTGGGCCCTTGTTACTGGAGATGGCGGGAGTGTACAAAGGATAAACAGATAGGTGGCGTTACCACCATAATTTGCAAAGAAATGAAAGAAACCGAATGAAGTTGACCAAACATGTTAAATACCGAAAAAATACATACTGGAAAACAATACGTGGGTCAGTATGTACAAGTATGACATGGTACACTCATGAAAGATTGATTATAGTAAAACAGCAACAGATAATTGCAGTCATTATACTGAAAAGCTTGATTATAGTAAAACAGCAACAGATAACTGCAGTGATGATACTGAAGAAAGATTGATTATAGTAAAACTGCAACATATAACTGTAGTGATGATAGTGAAGGAAACTTGATTATATTAAAATAGCAACAGATAACTGCAGTGATGATACTGAAGAAAGATTGATTATAGTAAAACAGCAACAGATAACTGCAGTGATGATACTGAAAAAAGATTTATTATAGTAAAACAGCAACAGATAACTGCAGTGATGATACTGAAAAAAGATTTATTATAGTAAAACAGCAACAGATAACTGCAGTGATGATACTGAAGAAAGATTGATTATAGTAAAACAGCAACAGATAACTGCAGTGATGATACTGAAAAAAGATTTATTATAGTAAAACAGCAACAGATAACTGCAGTGATGATACTGAAGAAAGATTGATTATAGTAAAACAGCAATATATAATTGCAGTGATGATACTGAAGAAAGATTTATTATAGTAAAACTGCAACATATAACTGCAGTGATGATACTGAAGAAAGATTGATTATAGTAAAACATACAACAGATAACTGCAGTGATGATAGTGAAGGAAACTTGATTATATTAAAAAAGTAACAGATAACTGCCGTGATGATATGAACAAATAATGAAAATAAAATGTATTGAGCAGAAAACCTCCTCTGTGTTGGTGCTGTCCGCAGGGACTAGTACAGGTGGGTTTGATAAGGAGGAAAAGATGGCTGCAGTGAGTACAGAAGATGGTCACATTGGCCAGTTACTTTTTTTAAGTGACTAACAGAAACAAAAAAATATGAAATTTACAACAAAAATTCATGACAAGAATTCATATATTACCTATTATAATAATTTTTAAATCAACATTTACTAGGGTTAGTTCTATTTTTATTAGTTACGTTAAAGTCCTGTCAACATGTTTCTTTGCACTTAAGTGTTTCTATTTTTAAAAAAAAGAATATACTAATGTATTATCAAGTTGCAAGTTGTGTTTAGTATACTTTAAAAAAATTATGTAAAAAGAATGTATACCTCTAATATACACTAGTATTTAAGAAATCCAAAATTATTATGAAATAAAATATTTGTATACACCACTAACAAAGACTCCGGAGTGGAGATATTGGAAAGAGGCCATGTCTGTCAAGGAATTACATTACAATTATAATAACTCAACTTATTAACATAGCTGTTTTTACTAGTCATTCTATAAACCTATACTGTATACAAAAAAAACACTGCATTTGTTGTCATTCTGAATTATGACTAATGACAATGCCAAAATAATAATGAACAAAGTAGCTAAAAATACTTCAGTAGGTTTTTATCAATACAATAAAAAGGTGATTATTAAAGGTAATTACTAGTTACAAATCTTCACAAAATAAGTACGGATACATACATTGTTAAAGTAAATTAACATTATTTAGATAAGTACACAAATTTTGGTATTTAGATAATACAAAATGTATCTCCAAAACATTTGCTAAGCCAAGTGTACTCGATTCCTGTGACTTATTAAGCTACTCCTAATGCTGAATTTCCTGCCACATACTTTACAACAAAAGGGCTTTTCACCAGTGTGTGATCTCGTATGGTGTATTAGAGTAGATTTTTTATGTGCAGAATACTCACAAACAGTACACTTAAATGGTCTTTCATTAGAATGGATTCTCAAGTGATTTTTTAAGTCACAAATTTGTGATGCTGCATATTTACATTGGGGACACTTGTATTTCAAATCACCTGTGTGCCTTCGTGTGTGAACTAACAGATTACTTTTAGTTATATATGATTTTTTACAGTATGTACATATAAATGGCCTGTGCATACATTTAAAATGGGTTCCTATGTGTAGATCATAATCATCTGGTTCGTTGAACCACCTGTCACAATGATCACAAATAAAGCTACGCAAAGGTTTATGTACTAGCATGTGCATTGACAAATGTTTGACGCAAGTTAAACTTTTTTGACAAACATCACACACAAAACTTTCTACAGCTGGGAGCTCTTTACCATCACACACTAGTTCCCATACAGACTGCATCAAATCAGACTTATCTACATGTGTTTTATTCTTGACTTTACCATCACACACTAGTTCCCCTACAGACTGCATCAAATCAGACTTAGCTACATGTGTTTTATTCTTGACCTTACCATCACACACTAGTTCCCATACAGACTGCATCAAATCAGACTTATCTACATGTGTTTTATTCTTGACTTTACCATCACACACTAGTTCCCCTACAGACTGCATCAAATCAGACTTATCTACATGTGTTTTATTCTTGACTTTACCATCACACACTAGTTCCCCTACAGACTGCATCAAATCAGAGTTGAAAGGATCTACATTAGTTTCATTCTTGACTTTACCAGCCATTTCTAATTGTTCTGGCTCTTGTGATTTAGGACAGTGACGCTCCACATCAACCATCTCTGGAATGAGGTTTGTTTGTTGATCAGTTTTAAATTCCATATTTGGAGAGCTAACTGTTTCTTCTTCTACAGCTACGTGGCATTTTTTATGATGTTTTTTCAAACGGTGCCACTTTCTTGTCGTATAGAAACAAAATTGACATGCCATTTTTAATTTGAAATGAAAATCATCTTTATGTTTTGCGTAGGATTCCTCCATTGTAATGTTTTTACAAAAACAACACTTTATAGTGATAATCTCAGGGTGCATTTTCCCCCAATGCTTGATGAGTTTTTTAAATGAATAAAATCTCCTAAAACAAATGTCACAAATGCCTACATCTTGCTGCATTCTGGAGGTTGTGACCAACAGCACTCATCCAGCTAAATTGAAAAGAAGATTTTTAAAACAAGGTGTCATGATAATAAATGTGGCCAGGTTAACAATTCAATCTTCTCTCAAATTTCTGTTGTGAAAAGCTAATATTTAATATTGAATCTAGAATGGTTTGAGGAAAACAAATAAAACATTTTTTAAATACATCCTGTCAGATGAGTGCTTCCTTTTAAAATGGATTTTTGCACTATTTTTTAGTAAGAGGTTTTAAAATGGACCCTACCGAGAATAGTCTAAAAATTATTTGAGAGGCCCATTAAATATTTTTAAAATTATGCACAGTGTAATTAAAATTGAATCTGTGTTCTTCATTGCTTACTGATGGGGTACTAATTTTATTCAAGCAGATAGGTCTACTTGAATGTACATGCTGAGCTTGTTTTTTTTCTCTTAAATAAACCAGAGCACACCTGTATATATTCAGCAAACAAATATTTTGTGTTAGCTGTAGGTTATATAGATTATATATTATATAGTAACTAGTATACTCCCCTAGCCCTATAGGTAAAGATATTCATGTTAATTTTAACGTTAGGGCATCCATACGGAACCAGGGTAAAACTCCATTTTAGAGTATTTTATTCGCTGCTTCACGTTCACCTCCGGTTGAGCGTATTATATTATAAACCTAACCAAAACATACAAAAATGAAATCACTTGGCCTAATTCTTTATGAATTTTTGGTTTAGTTTTTTAAATTAATTTTGTCAAAACTTGAGAAAAATTCAAAATCTAAGATCTAGATCTAACTTTTTTTCTTCTTGAAATTTATGTTCGTGTCAGTTTAGATTTTCATGGCAATGGCTAAAGTAGAAACGAATAATTGCAAGGCATGATACTAGAGTCTAGATCTATAATATTAATTTACTTACATGAACTCATAATGACCCTAAGCTATGATGTATGCTGATAATTATAATTAAAGTCAATGTGAACTCACTGTGAGCCCTTGACCATGTAGGGATTTTTTCCCCGCCAACGATCACACGCAATTTAATTAAACTGTAATGCTTATTTAATTTATAACAATTTTTACCTTTTTACACATTCATAAAAAAATAAGTACCTTGCAGATCTATAGGCCTACATTACATCAAATACTACAACTAATGTATGATTCTAATGTTAGTGTTTTCCTAGCATTTTTGTGTGTTTTGGTTGTGTTTATAATAAAATACACTCAACTGGGTCTGGAGGTGAATGTGAAGCGGGGAATAAAATACGCTAAAATGGAGTTTACCCCCCCCCCCCCAAGCAGGCAGCCTAGTTCTCATAAATAATATAGATCTATAAACTATAAATGACCCCTAAATTAAAATCATATAATAATCATATGTTATATTTGATTATTATATAAAAAAATAATAGGTCTAGAAGATCTAGATCTATGTCAAAATATATATAATATATAGGTCTAGTATAGTAAAAAGTTAAATATAGTTATAGTATGATATAGTGAGTCAATGCTAGATCTAATATTCTAATAGACTCTAGAACTAGAATCTAGATCTAGATCTATCTAAAATCTAGATTTAAAATCTAGAAAATCTAGATCTATTAAAATTAGTAAATTATTAATTATTATTTATTAGTCTATATTATTAGATCTGAGTAAACAAAAAAATGACAAAGTAAACTATACTTTATTACTAGATCTAGATCTAGATTCTAGTGATTACTCATACTAGTGTGGTGTATACTTAATTATTTAATTAATAATTATTAATAATTTAAATTAATAATACTCTGAAATCTTAATACTTAATTTAATAATTAACTTAATAGTAATACTAATAGTATAATACTAGATTTCTATATTAAACAATACTAGATCTCTAGACTCTATTAGTATTAACTATTAAATTCTATTAGATCTACTAAACAATAAATTTATAAATTAATATCATAAACATCAAGAACTAAGAACGCGCGAAAAAACTTTCCATAACTTTCGACATTAGAATCTAAATTTAAAATTTGATTAAATTAAAACTGAAAAAAAAAACTGGAATCTTACAAAAAAGAATAGAACCAGATCTAATCTAGATCTAGATAGATCTGTTACTTGATGCTATCACTAGTGCGGATAACAATTTTTAAAGTACAATCTCTAGATTCTAAAACTATCGATAAACCAGGGATTAAAGCATTTCCATTCCTTGGATAGCTTCCGGTTTCTTCGAACATAAACAACGTCGAAAGGGGATGTAACCAAGCTAGGTTAATTTTGTCGAAAATATTAATTTTGTCGTTTCCCTTTACCATGAAAGGAAAATAGTGCCCATATGGCATAATATAATAAATTGGTTACTCCGAAGTTATTTAATCGTCATTCAATATTTGATTTGAAATTTTAGAAAATCCAGGTCAAAATTAGATTCATGTAGGACAATGCATTTGGATTTTTCTATGGTAGTTGTGATGCATGCAGTAACCGTGTTAGCCTGTTATATAATATGATCTAAAGGTAGGTGAAGTAGAGTCAATCTGTATTTTGTGATCAGCACCATACCCTCTCTTATTTTAACCATGCACCTATAATGGCTAGGTGGAGTCGGTTGCACCCTCACTCTTCAAACTTAAAAACTGAGATTATCAAGTGTAATATACATCTTGAAATAATGCAATACCTAACTTTCAAAAAATATTCCTGTTCGTGTTCCAGACACATAGGGCAGATGAAGTAGAGTTTATCTGTTTCGATAACCACAGCACATGAAGAGATAGTGTGGTCAGCACTGTGTCCAGCCACCTTTGTTTCCTTAACATGTCAAATACAGACTTGGGTGGACATCCCAGGATCCGAACTTGAGATTTTGGGGTTGGCAGCGGTAAGTTGTTTCGATAATACTTTCGCTAAAATAAGTCTAATAGACTAAATATCATATTTCCAGTAGCTTTTTTACAAAAGTTCTATTATGAAAAATAGATCAAGATAGGGCCTTCATACTATTTTGTGATAAAGTGAGGAAAATTGAAGGCTAGTAATCTATTGAAAAACATGTATCTATAAAACTATAATGGATAAATTTATTTTAGAAAAATGCCTTAAACTAAAGATATGGTATGCAACTACTATCAATGAAAACACTGAACCATGGGCGGCACCTGGCGCCTCTGCGGTAATGTAATCTCAACAGTACTTCACAACGCCCGATTTTGACAAAAGTAATGATTAAAGGTGTTGGATATGATATGGTTAAAATCTTTTACAATACAAATTCGGCTTTTAGCTAATTGTTTTTAGACATTGTGCTACTTAATTTTTGTGATAAAACCAAATTATAACTTTCAGTCTATTTTTGAAGGTAGAAAAAAATCAATGACATGCTTATTTGCTTAGATACAATCCAATTTTGTGATAAAGTAATGGAGGCTATACCTGCTTAAAGTATTTAATAAACATTTCATAATTTTGAAAACATTTATAAAAAACAATTTGTGCTACGTAAGTTGATTCTTTGTTGTAATAAAACTTTTTTAAATTCAATTAATTTAAGGTAAGAAAATAAAGATGGCATGTTTGTTTTATTTTCTGCTAAAATTTTTAAAAACATAAACAGCATTGTCACAATGTGTATCTTTATTGACATACACTGCTGTGTTTGTGGGTATCTATGAATGTACTTAACAGTAAACTTTATTGTATGACTTGAAACTTTATTTACATGATACTTGAATAGCACGTACATCTGACTATGTCCATGTTTGAAATACATACTGCACATAGTCCTTGACTATACAAGATTCAGAACTGGGTTAACAATATCGGTAGAAAAATTCAGAAATCAAAACTGGGTGCATTGAAACACACACCTTCATTCATTCTAGCAGACGTAAAAAAAGTATAGTTTCACCTTACATTCATCCAGCTGGCACACTTCCACACTTCAATTACACACCTTACATTTTGTCATATTCTACCCTTACAGTACAGTAGTTACAGTCAGAGAGAAAATAGGGCTGGTAAGTAGGTCACCAACCAGTTATACAGCTCAGTAAAACCTTCATGAGCCATAGAACTGGTTGGTGACCTACTTACCAGCCCTATTTTACAAAAGCTTGGAAAAACATGATTGCGTCGCTTGGTTGGCCAGATACTCCCTTTCACACAAATTTCACTCCAAAATTATACACCCAAAGTACAAGTTTTGACCATCATTAAAGATGTTACATAACTTAATACATTCCAAATTATAATGTTGCAAGACGACAGATCCCAGGTAAAAATGAACAGTTGAGAAATAAAACATTAGCTTGGTTTGTTAATCAATACTTTTATTTTTTTAATGAATCATCAACATAATATAAGTAACATGTCAGTTGTATTACTATTGTCCCTTAAGTTACAGAAGAAGAGAAATACACTTCATATTTGACATTACTAAAAATGTTGACTAGTAATACTACTACCAATAACATCACCCAAATGGTTGATATTGAACAGTGGACAGGCTGGTCCACTCTTCAAGTCATTTTGCACTTAAAGTTATTGTCAGTTTTTAAATTGTCTAAGCAATGTTAATGTTGTTTTTAATTGTTTTAAAAATTGTGAAAAACAAAAACAAGCTCAGTGTTAAGATAATTTTACTGCAGACTATCTAAACAATGAAAGCTGACAATTTTTTTTCATAATAGTTTACATATTGCTTTTTAAAGCACCACACAAAGTTTTTTCTCAAAATAAATTAGGTTCACAACAATTTGCAAATTTAACAATATCGTCTTGTAAAATGGGTCTTACGTATGTTCAAGGATGCCATTTAAGATCAATATGTATTACAACTGTAACAGTAATATTTACATAACATCAACAATGATTAATTTAGTTTGATTACTTGACTAGATTGTTTTTTCATTAAATACAAAAAACAAAAAGAAACCAATGAAATAAAATGTGATCTGTTCTGGAATTCAACATTGTGTTTATAAGAGTCTAACTTACAAAGCTTATTATTGTACATATTTGTAAAACATCAAAATCTCTTTAGTACTAGTACTGCACATGTTTCTTCATACAAGAGAACAATTATATTATGATGTTTCACAGTAACAAATACATTTAAATATAACCAATAACTAACCAATGAACAATAACTTGATAATCAGAACTTTTCAGGGACAATTTCAACCAGGTATACAACACAAAATTAAGCCTACAAGCTGTCATTTGGATATTTTTGCCGAAACAAACTCTGGATTTTGGGATATCTTTTAGAAAGGTACCAATAAAAATCATTTAAAAAAAATTGAGTGCTGTCAGTTAAAGACAAGTATTTAAAATGTAATTTATTTTAATTAATATTTTATTTAATTGGATAAAATTGACTGCCATCTCTGTACACTATCTCAAAACTGAATGAAGTTTTTCCAGCTCCATGTAACATGGGTTCAGTTTGATGCTTGTAGACCTCTCTTTTATTGGAGCTGTACTAACCTACACATAAGCCTTACACAAAGCCACAAGAAACTAAACTTGATAAACAACATGTTAGTAGCAGTAAAACACACCATAGTTTAAAAAGATTGGCTTGTAGATAACTGATTTTAATATCTTATTTTAAAGCAGACATTTTAAACATTTTATTATTGTTAGTTATAGTACTAAAAAGCCATTATCATTAACTTTCTGACCGATGAGTAAAATAAAAATTTAAACAGAGAATTTATGAAATACTGAAGAGAAATAAAACATTTAAAGCACATAAGAAGTTGAATCAGTAAGTTGAAAATCTTTCTATATTTTTTTAATTGTAAAAAATGAAGAAGTTTTTTCTTATTATAAAAAATGAATATTTTCTTTGTGTTTTTTTAAGTTGTTATGTTGAGTGAATCTCTGATAACAAATGTTACAGCAGAATGGTTTTTCTCCTGTGTGTATTCTAACATGAATATCAAGAGTAGATTTACTAAAACATGAATAATCACAATTATTACATATAAAAGGTCTCATATTTAAATGAATTCTTTTGTGTGTTTTCATACTACATTTTAAATGTGTTTGATAATCACATCTGTCACATTTATGAAACAATTCTTTTACATGTGATCTGCTATGAGCTGTTAGATTACGCTTGAATGCAAATGATTTGTCACACAACTGACATTTAAAAGGTTTATTCAAAAAATGCCATTTTAACAAATGTGCATCATAAAGTTGATCACTATCAAAATACCTGTCACAAACACTACATATGTAGTTCTTAGCTGATGTGTGTATAACTTGATGACAAGATAGATGTGAACTTGAATTAAACATCTTTTTACAAACATCACAAACAATAGAAGTTTGTTGTGTACAATGCCCATTATTCACAACATCTAATGTGCACAGATTACAGCTATTTAATCCTTCACATGAACATCTCCTTTGATTAACAATAGATTTATCACTCTCTTTAACTGAGTTCAATTCTTCTTCAGACTTTGAAAATCCCACATTAGGTTCAGTTTTCACTTCAGTATCGGCTACAAACTTTTCTTTTTCTTCTAGTTGTGTACTTTTTAGTTCTTCAATGCCAGCGGAATTGTGGATTTGTGTTGAGTTACAGATTGTTTCGTTTGATGTGAAATGAGTTCTGGTGTGGTGTTTTTTAATTCTCCTCCAGTGCCTGCTAGTGAATTCACAGAATTCACAAGCCAGTCTTTCATTTGGATGGTATTGAGACTTATGCTTTCTGAACTTTAAATCTTCCGTAGTCAAATAAGCACAGAAGCAGCACTTTATTATAGGAAGCTCTGGGTGTTTTTTTTTTAAATGTTTACACAGATTTTTGAAACAAGCAAAGACTTGAGTGCAGAACTCACAGGAGATCATTTTCTTTGTATTTTTAGAATTAGATATAATCACCTGAGCTTTACCTGAAAGGGATGAAAGAAAGATTAAATTATTTACTATTACTAAAAACATTAATACAAGTTTATAAACAAGTGTCTGAATTTGAGTTTTTAGAAAGAAATTTAGTTTTCTAGTCATTATCAAATCTTATGACAATCTATTAAATTACAAATTATAATAAATTTAAAAAAATAAGTTCTGAAAAAAATAAAAACAATTGTACATTTGTTTGGTCTGGTGTCACTCCATTTATCTCTTGTAGACTGCACCATGTGCTTTGTATGGACTTAAGCATTAATCAGTTTCCTAGCAATCACAATGAATGGTGTGTGAAAGATTACAGCTTCTCCCTGCTTGTGGGGTTTCATCTCAAAATTAGTAATGGATTAAATTTTTGAAAAAACATATATATCTATAAATCTATAATGGCTACATTTATTTTCGAAAAAATAATTTAAACTAAAGATGTGGTATGCAACTACTATCAATGATACCACTGAACCATGGGCGGCAATGTAATCTCAACAGTACTTCACAATTAAATCACAATTTCTTTATAAAATAAGAACCACAAGTGGTTTATTTAACTCATTCTGTAGGCCTATAGTTTTTGTGCAGGCAAGTGTTGATATATATTAAAATAAAGTTGATTTAGAATAATTTCCCTTTAGAACATAGGCCCTATTTATATTGTTTTCAAATAAATTTTTTTAAATGGCAAAAATGAAAGAAAATGAAAAGTAGGCCTAATTGCCTGGCGTAATTGCACTAGGTAATAGCTGAACCTCAGTAGATTTTGAAAATGTAGTTGCTTTGTGTATTGGAAATCAATATTTTATTAATTTAAAATTAAAAAGAGACTGGTAAAAACAAAATTTGAAAAATCAGTCAAGAACTCTGGGCAGGTTTTTGTATGAAAATTATCTCCCTTTAACCTTTGTTCTAATTAAATTAGTACATACTAAACTAATCTAGATCTAGATTTAGACTCACTTTACTAGAAGAATGAGACTAGATCTAGTTTAGCTGTAGCAGCCTGTCTAGTCTAGATCTAGAACAACCTCTATAATTAATATAAATTATATTATAATCTAGCTAGATTATCTAGATCTAAAATATAGAGATCCTAGATCTAGATTCTAGAAATAGTGAGAAAACGCGCGCGAAAACTTTCCATAAAATTATATTATACAATATTAAATTTGGGTAATCTATCGTTTTGGGTACGTAAAATCGCCCGCGATTTGTAATGTGAAAAACAGGTGACTCCTTAAATTTTAATAATTATTTCACATTTTGAGGAAGATTTATGTTTTAAAAAATTCAAAAATGTTTCCTTGATTCATTTATGTACCTGTTTTTAAACAATTGAATTAAAACTTTTCCGTAATAAATGAAGACTAGCGATGTTTCCAACAGATGCAACCATGCTCATTTACTATAGCAGCCATCTTGTCTAAGTTTTATATTTATAAGCTTTTAGCGCCAGATTCAGGGGGAAGCCACTCTATTTTACAAATGGCTGCTGTTTATATAGCAAATCTTGCTCTCAGACACTGCTGTTTAAAGTTAATTTCTGGCCTGTATCGATATATTTAGCCATTGATTTAGGTTTATTATTCATTTATCTATAATATTTGACACACAAGTATGACAATATACTTCTATTAAAGCCTTGACAATAAGGTAACGTTTTCGTACATAAATAGCCGCGGGCGATTTTACGTACCCAAAACGATAGATTACCTAAATTTGAATGAAACACATTCAGAATCTAGTTTATTGAAAGAAAATACGAACCTGACAAAAATGAAAATCAACTCATATAGATCTAGAATCTAGATGCAGGCATAAATTTTGAACATAATCCTAGAGTGAAACAGATTCACAAATTTGAAATGCGTCTGTCACTGTGTTGTTACCAAACAGGGTTGATTTATTTCCGGTTTCATATTAAGAAAAACAAGGGGCTATAACCAATGTAGATTGATTATTTTGTGGAAAATATTAATTTAGTTTTTTCCCTTTACAAGAAATAAAACATTAATAAAGATTAAATAATGTTAACTAAGCGGCTAATCCTGAAAATTGTGCAATAACAGATGCATATTGTCAATCAATGTTTTGGGTTATTAGTGGGTTTGTTAAGCTGCATTCAATCAGTTTCACCCCAGCATCATTTAAATTTGACAGAAGGTTTACCCAGATATATTTTTATTACCCAGTGTCTAGTTTGTTTCCATTGAACTTAAACTTTTCAGCATTAAGGGCAAATAAAGTAGTTCTGTTTCATTATGGAAAGTCTCATTTAAAAAAAATGTTTCCTTAACCTCATCATATAGAGGGACAGCTAGGCCTATTACATATGGTTAATATTATCAAGTAAAATTCTAATGTGCATTGTAATGGCTCAGTGGCGTAGCCAGGATCGTCTCAAGGGGGGGGGGGGGTTTCCAATTTTTACCGGGGGACAAACTTTCGATTTGCACCCCCCTTCATACTTTATATATATATATATATACCGAGGGGTCTATGGGGGGGGGGGGGGTATGACCACTGTAATGGCTAAAGGTGTCGAAATCATTTAAATAAGCTATTTCATCTTTAACTTTAAGCCAACTGTTCTTTGTATGTATATTATTCGTGGGTGAGGGAGGGGGTGGAGAATGGGACGACAATGTTGTCGAATGGTTGAGCTTTCGACTGCTAACTTGAAAGTCTCAAGTTCAGATCCCAGGCTGGAGAATGACCCTGAGTCCAAGTTTCTCTTAGGGTGGGTGGTCATAGTGCTGACCACACTATTTCCCTTCATGCAAAAATCCCTGAAACAGATAATTTCTACTTCTTCATCCCAGGTGTATTGCTCAAAAACAGATAAAGATGATGTTATCTTGGTCAGCCAATAGAACAACACACTTATAACTTTAAAAATATATTTTTTTAAGGTAATACAATCAGTCAGGCTATTTTTTTTATTCCATTTATTTGCATTTTCAGAATCATAAAACATCAATAAAAATAAAATCATCATAGCTGTAAAATAACATAATACACTCCAACTTGTAATATGTAACACATGTAAATATGTATCAAATGTTACATTAAAAAAATAGAGAAATAAAAAATATTTAGCTCTATCTAAATCAGCTATAGAATAAAAAAAAAAATGCAAACATTTACATCAGTGTTATTCCTTAACTCAAGAAATAAACAGAATTAAAACTAAATATACCAAAGTGTTTTACTACTAGTAACAATCACCCCCCTCCACCCAATTTTAGTAGATTAGCTACCCTAGGTCATTTTTAGTTTTTTAAATTAGTTTTAAATCAATGTTTACATTGATTTAATGGTGAAAAATCTTGAGTAATCTTTGTGTAATTTTTTTATGCAAACTATCAAAGATGGCAATTTTTTTTATATCTTTTAAGAATAAATTGTGCATTAAAAACTAATTTTAAAAAAACCACCAAAGTTAAAATAAATAAAAGTTATTATCTTCAACTTTTTGTTTTTTAAATGAAGAATTATTTTTTTCTTTTTACTCATTTCTTTGTAACAAAAATAAGGACTACTTTTATTTTTAGAAAGTTCAAATTTGAAACTGAAAATGTGTTATAAATTAAAGATTAGGTGAATATCATCATCTAGTCACATAGCTCATGTCTTGCCAACCTAGGCTTTCTTTAAGCCATTAATAAATAGTTTTAGTTAGTGATATTTACTTATTGGTTTGATTATTGGTAGGCTTAACAAACTAATAGTGTTTTAAAAACAAAAATATTTAAAATTCTTAAAAAGTATTATCAGACATATTTGTAATAACTTGTACTTCTTTGTCCTAAGGAATCATGTTTCACACTATCAAGGTGGCATTAAAATACATAATATCATTAACCACATGATTATCAATACTTTTCAGCCCAATATGGACTACGTTATGCCTTAACTGCCAGTTGGCATTTTGATACAAAAAGTAACCTAAATGTTGTCCAATGGGTATTTCTCTGTGTGGTAGGAGATGGGCTAAAAAAACTCACAATTTTTTATGGCAGTTATTGAACAACCTTTAGTAGTTTTATTACCATTATTAATATTTTCATTTTAAAGAAAATAAGAATTTAAAAAATAATAACATGCTTATAAATTAATAGGAAATAAAGAAAACTGTCTTAAAATATAATTGCAAAATAAAGAAAATGGTATGTATTTATAATACATTTAAAAGTTTATTATAAAAGTTTTCATATTATTTAGTAAGAAGAAACTAAAAACAAACAATATAGTGAGTTGCTATTAAAGTTTTAAAAACAATTAATATGCTTTCCATAACTTCATTTTCTGTTCACAATCAAATTTGCATTGAATGTAGATTATCAAGAGAAAAAAACAACTGGGGAGGCTGAAATTGTCTAATTCATTTTTTGAAAATTGATTGTGACATCGTTTCCTTATCTAATTTGCTTTAAGTATTTTTTCAGCTGCATTAAAATTTGAAGCCAGTATAATGTTCAGATGGTCTGTTATGAGATCTGAACGTAGCCTACATGCAGTCACGACCCAAAGCTACCAGAAACCAAGCTTGATAACATGTTAGTGAAGCTTGGCATTTACCTAACTCAAAATATTTCACTTTCAGACAGAGAACACATTGTATTTTTTTAAATTTAAAAGTCCATTAACTTTCTGATCTACAATTAAAACCACAGTAAATTTAAACTGAGAATTTTTAAAAATACTCAAGAAAACCTCACAAATCATTAAACAAGTTTAAACAGTAACTTAAAAATTTGTCTCAATTTGTCAAAATTTTCTTATTACAATAAATAAATATTTTTTTGTGTGTTTTTAAGTTGCCACATTGATAACTTGTTAGTGAAGCTTGGCATTTACCTAACTCAAAATATTTCACTTTCAGACAGAGGACACATTGTATTTTTTTAAATTTAAAAGCCCATTAACTTTCTGATCTACAATTAAAACCACAGTAAATTTAAACAGAGAATTTTTAAAAACACTCAAGAAAACCTCACAAATCATTAAACAAGTTTAAACAGTAATTTAAAAATTTGTCTCAATTTGTCAAAATTTTCTTATTACAATAAATGAATACCTTTTTTGTGTCTTTTTAAGCCGGCGTGGTGGGAGAAGTTCTTGTAACAAATATTACAGCGGTAGGGTTTTTCACCTGTGTGTACTTTGACATGACTATTAAGCTTGTTTAAATGAAAACATGAGTAATCACAAGATCTACATTTGTAGGGTTTTACGTTAGAATGATAAACCTCGTGGCTTCTCAATTGATACTTTGAATGTGTTTGATAGTTGCATTTGTCACATTTATGAAATAATTCTTTGACATGTGATCTCTTGTGCAGTCTTAGACTACGTTTTAATTTGAATGATTTGTCACACAACTCGCACTTAAATGGTTTGGGCAAAAAATGTCTTTTTATCAAATGTACATCATACATTTCAGCGCTCCCAACATCTCTGTCACAGAGACTGCAGATATAAAACTGTACAGCTGTGTGTACAACTTGATGACACACGAGATGTGATTCTGATTTAAACTTCTTTTTACACACATCACAAACAAAAGAAGTTTTTTGTGTACTGTCCGCACGATTCACATCATCTACTGTAGGTTCAGTTTTTGCTAGAGTGAAATCTACAATCCTTTCTTTTTCTTCTAGCTTTGTACACTGTAATTTTTCAATACCATTAGATTCATGCATTTCCGTTGAGTTGCAGATTGTTTCATTGGATGTTAGATTATGCATATCATCTACTGTAGGTTCAGTTTTTGCTAGAGTGAAATCTACAATCCTTTCTTTTTCTTCTAGCTTTGTACACTGTAGTTCTTCAATACCATTAGATTCATGCATTTCCGTTGAGTTGCAGATTGTTTCATTGGATGTTAGATTATGCATATCATCTACTGTAGGTTCAGTTTTCACTAGAGTAAAATCAGCAATCATTTCTTTTTCTTCTAAATTTGTACAGTGTAGTTCTTCAATACCAACAGTTTCATGCATCAGCGTTGAGTTGCAAGTTGATTCATTGGGTGTTAGATGTGTTCTAGTGTGATGTTTTTTTATTTTTTTCCAGCGCCTACTTGTGAAATCACAATATTCACATCTCAATCTTTCTGTGGGATGATATTCATCCTTATGGTGTTTAAACAACAACTCTTCCTTTGTCAAAAAATCACAAAAACAACACTGTATTATTGAAACTTTAGGGTGCTTTTTCCTACAATGTTTAGAAAGTTTCTTGAAAGAAGCTAAAACCTTGTTACAGATTTCACAGGTGATCATTTTCCCTATGTGTTTTTTGCATTGTAGAATTTGTGATGTGTGTTTTACCTGAAAAGGAAGACAGAAAGATTACATTAATCATTATCTACTAATAAAAACATTTGAGAGTTTTTTTTTAAAGAAGGGAAGTCCTGATTACAAATCTCACAAGGTACCATTTTCCCTGTGTGTTTATACCTTGTAAAAAGAATACAATAATCACCTATGCATTATCAAAAAAGAAAAAAAAAAGATTACATTATTTAATATTTAAAAACTTAAATTAAAATTGAGTTTGACTATGATTTTTCGGGTGACCAGAATAATGTGCAACTCAAAATTGCCTAACAGAAAAACTGATGGGTTGCACAATGAAATTGAAGGTATCGACACAATTTAAGGCATTGGTTAGGCAAACATTAAATTCTACAGCAAACTTTATTCTACAATCAGCTGGATCTAGCTCTTGAAAATGGGAGCAGAATATTACTCTCCATGTTGATTACTATGTAGGTATATATTACAACCCCTACTATAACAAGAGTAGGACTTTACCCCAACATTATTATCTGCTAAACCTTCAAGATTTATTAACCCTACCTTTCCTCTATCACCTAAAATAATATATATATATATATATATATATATATATATATATATATATATATATATATTTGTTTAATCTTGTGTAGGGGCCAGATGGAAGTTGATATAATCCTGGTGTGATTCCGCTTTCTAAAGGGATTGGGGTTCTTGTCTAAGCAGCTGATAGATATATGCACCTCACACAGCATTTCTTCCAGAAGTGGAGGGGGGGGGGGGGGGGAGAAACGGGACATGAAACATTTAAAATATCTATAACAATTCAATTTTGTTCAGTTGAGTAGGAGTGGGGTGTTGGCGGTAGACGTACTTGGGAGGGGGGGGGGGGGGGAAGAAGGAACAAAGTGATGCTTGATCGAAACCTGACCCCAGACCTGGAACATACATTATGACATGGCTAAGCAAAAAGTAAGCTATATTGTACTAAAAAAGTGTTTAAGGTTGTAAATGCTGCTGATTATCATAAATAATGGGCTTTAAAGTGAGATATATGTTAACTGAAGGGACGGTGTGGCTTATTGGTAGAGATCTAGACTGCAAACCCAAGAGTCTCGAGTTCGAATCCGGGTTCAAATCAATGGAATGTTGCTGAGTCCACCCAGCTCTGATGGATTCCTAAATTACATTAGGGAAACAAAGGCGGCTAGACATAGTGCTTACCCCACTATCCCTTCAAATGCCGAGGTTTCTGAAACAGATCAACTCTATTTCATCTGCCCCATGTGTCTTGGGCACGAGCAGGAAATGATGATGATGATGCTGTTATCTGAAAGTGATAGTCACTCAGTGATTTAGTGGACACCATGTTAAACCAGCAAGAAGACAATGTCATTCCCCTCTTTCCCCCCCCCCCCTTCATTTTGTTAAAAGCAGTTTTTCTGCAAAATGTAAACTGATCTTGGTCAATGTTGAGTATATGGAACAATGTGTATTAAAAAAAAAATTCTCCCAAAAATGGGAGATAACAACTAAAATTAAGATTACAACATTAGGGACCTAGATCTATCTAGATCTAGATTCTAGATCTAGTCGAAAGTTTTGCGCGCGTTTTTAACTAACTACTAGTCTACTAAATTATTTAAAATTATAGAGATCTAGTAAATATTAAATGAAACTTGAATTCTAACAAAAAATGAAAACTTACTCGTATAGATTAAAATCTACGGCTAAATTTGAAACACTAGCAATTAAACACGATTTTTTTTTAAAGAACACAATTTGAAATCATCAAGAAGTTCAACTTTATATTGAAGACAATTTTTATTTCCGGTTTCTACTGGAGGGCAAAAATCACACCAGGAACACGAGGGGCGTGAAACGAACTGTGATGCTAAAGCAGCATCCATAACTGCAACCTCTTCAACCTCTATTCTTTACTCCTCCTCTCTCTTTTCCCCATTTCCATATACCTTCTTAAAAAGTCAGCCCCAGCATCCCTCCCCCTAAAATGACATCACACTTTAGCCGACCCCCATCCACTCTCATGGCCTTAACTTTTTCAGTGCCTGAAGGGGATATAACCAAGGTGGGATTATTTTCGTCGAAAGTTATTTCCCTTTGCATCTAAATAAAACAATCTAGTTCAGTCTTTCTTCCACATTTTTTTTCTCCGGGGGAGCAATCGATATTTTCAGGGGGGGGGGGGGCTGACACTGGTAAAGGTATATGTTTTCTATTTAAATTCCACCTCGTTCGTCGGGGCGGTAGACTCCCCGCCCCCCGAGAAAGAAGTCTACCCCCCTTTCCAACCCCCCCCCCCTCTCGGCCCCGAACGAAATGGAATTTATGTAGAAAATAACTACTTTTATCAGTGTCCGCCCACCTCCCCGGAAAAATTTAGTCCCTCCCCCACCCCAAAAATATCAAGTGTCCCCCCCCCCCCACCACCCCTCGGAGAAAAAAAGAAAAAAAGTCTGTAAGAAACACTGGTTAAAATGATTTAGCATAAAACATCGTCAATTATGATTTAAAATTAAAATGTTTGCTAGCGAGAGGCAACGTTCATTTCGTTGTTCAAATTTGATGACAGTTTACAAACAATAACAAATATGTATTTTAAAAAAAACAATACTTAAATAGCCTTAAAATGCTAATATGTAACGTCATACTGTTCTACCACTCTCCTCTCATCACACATTGTTACAAAGTCCGACCCCCCCCCCCTCCCAAGAGTGTAACGCCAGAGTTTCTTCCAAGCATCACTTCGGGCGGGGGGGGGGGGGGGGCGGCCGAGGAAAGTCTACCGCCCCCCGAACGAGATGGATTTTATATAGTAAACATACACATTTACTAGTGTCCCCCCCCCCCCCCGAAAAAACGACCGCTGAGGTGATAAAGTATGTCTATTTTAATGGTGTATTGTAAACAGTGGCGTAGCGAGGTCGGGTGTCACCCGGTGCGGCACTTAATGGTGTCACCCCCCCCCCAGAGGCGTAGCGACGCTTCCCAGGGGCAAACTTTCAAGTTTTCGATTTGCACCCCCCCCCAAACTTTCGATTTGCACCCCCCCCCCCTCAAGTTTTCGATTTGCACCCCCTCAAGTTTTTCTCTACATATTTTGGTGTCAACCCCTAACTGGTGTCACCCGGTGCGGTCCGCACCCCCCCCCCCCACGCCCCCTCGCTACGCCCCTGATTGTAAATAGTTTTCAAAAATTAAAAAAATATATATATATAGAAAATATAAACTTTAACCGCCGTCGTCGACCGTCCCTTCGGAAATTTAAGCCTCCTCCATTCCCGAAAGTTTCAAGTACCCCTCACCCAGAACCAAAAAAAAAACAAATTTAAATATAAAATATAGCCTACTTATACCACTCAAATACCCCCCCCCCCCCGCTCTTCGATACGGGCATGGTTTCTTTCAGATATTTTTTCTCCAGGGTGGGGGGGGGGGCTTAAAACTTTCGAGGCGCACTTAAATTTATTTTTATATAATTTTTACCGGTATGTCTAAAGGCAACCACACCTATCTATTCCTGTTAGGCTATCGCATTTCTCTTTTTTTTTTTTGTGTCGATCCCTCAATGTTGGGAACGAAAATGTCTTATATTGTGTTATATTTCAGGCTTATTTTTTGTGCTTCACCAACGGGGGATCAATGGAACCAAAATAAATAAAAAAATTCCTGAAATAAAAAAAAATAAACATTGTAGGTGACAAAAATAATATTAATAACCCTAATTTCTAATAATATTAATTTCTGAATTTTTTTTGCTTTTTTATACAGATCGATAAAAAAATTAGGCTAGGGAAATATCAATAGATAGGCTATAGTCTAGATCTAGATCTATTCAATTTTAATTCTAGGAAAATGCCAAAACAATAATTTGAATTTGAATAGCTAAAATACAGTTTTTATTTAACTTCTGAAATTTTATCTGGTACTTAAACAGCAAGGGACACTACTCTGTTAATCATTTAAATTTTAAATTCAACAAGCAGCACTCTACTTAGTCACTGTTGCCGTCACATTTTAAAAACCACCTTTAACAGAAAATAAAGCACTTATCTATATCTAAACATGTTTTCACCCGGATCTGGACACGATGCTTTTCAACCTCATGGTAAACTTAACTCTTTGTTCAACACTTAAATTATAAATCTTACGACGTCTTAAGTCCTAAAAAATAGTAAAAATTGGTAATCTATCGAATCGAGGGTAATCTATCGTTTTGGGTACGTAAAATCGCCCGCGATTTATAATGTGAAAAACAGGTGACTCCTTAAATTTTAATAATTATTTCACATTTTGGGGAGGATTTATGTTTTAAAAAATTCAAAAATGTTTCCTTGATTCATTTATTAGGTTGAATTATGGATTTTTTAAAATAAAATATTCTGTTATTTCAAATACACCATTAAGTTCCTTACCCCTTAAGAGAACATTTGACACCACATTTAAATATCTAGCTTATTCGGTTGACGAGAAAAAAGAGAATTTGAAAATTTAGCTAGAATGGAAAATGAATGACAAAACAAGAATCTTGCTCCTGGACCGGCATAACATGACGCCGTGAACTTGTGTGCACGAGCTTTTAATTCCCGCCATGGTAATTGCGTCAGCTTAGGTCATTTACTCACCGGAAAATAACAAAAAGCAACTGGTTGATAATAAAACTTAGATCTAGTTATTTTATTATTTATTAAATTCTACTCTACATTTTATTCATACCATTTTAAGAAATAATGAACACCTACAAAAATCAAACGACCATAATAAATATTTTTATTTCAAATTCTAATTTTAAATAATAAATATGCATAAAATAATATGATAGTAATAGTTAAGATAGTTTATAAATGCAAATACATTTTACACTCAATCACATTATATTGAGTCAACAGTGTGGCAGCTGAGGTTCATACATGGTATTAGTGTCTTTTTTTTTTACATTACATTTTTTTTCATCTTGAAAACATGACGTATGTGATTTTTTTTAAAAATCTCCAAACATCGTCACTCGCGTGATTGCTTGCTTATGTTTACTATCCTGTGGATGAAAAATCCCACCACGGTCGCGGGGTCACCGTGACTTCAGCAGGCCTACAGTACACGTCATAGAATGAACACGCGTACACGAGATGGTCGGTGTCTTCACTTCTCTCTCCCCCCCCCCCCCCTCTTCTTCAAGCAAATTGAAAAAGAGACCTAGTTCCCTACTTCTGGTCATTTTTTTTTAGTTCGGTCATTTTTTTTTTAAGTTCGGATATCAGGCATGCTAGACAGCCAGCTGTATAAAAAAAATATTTTTTAAACTAGATCTACGTCTAGCTTAAAAAATAAATAAATAAATGCTTAAAATGCCCGTAAACAGATTATTTAGCGCCAAAAAAAAAGGCCGCTGAACGAGCATTTTTTACAATACGCAGCAATGAAAAAGGCTAACGGCCAATCAATTAAGTCTAAAAATCGCCCGTAATTAGGCCTAGCTCTGAAAAAGGCCACTGAACGAGCACACTGATTATATAAACGAATAGGCCACGCGGCGTTGACGAGGTCAACCACCGGTCACGAATGCAGCAACGGTCGGCCCACAGTGAAGAAAAAATCAATATACTAATAAAATTACTAATACAATAATAATGTCTATAATTTTACTTTTTCCACACATGCTACAATTGATTTATAATTAAAATACTAGACTTAACAGTTCATTCCGTAAAAAACAAAAACTAGTTGTTTCAGTCTGGCAACTAGCGTAACAATGACGTCATGATACTTAAAATAGCGGATAGAAATGTCAGCGTGGGTACCTCATCCTCGAGGAAGATTTTAGAAAAAGTAATCAAAAATACTGTAAATATACATGATAAATATATCAATTATATATTAATGTACAGTTAGTCGAGCCGTTTTCCCCGTTAGTCGGTCGTTTTTGGCGGCGGTTCAGTTTTTACGGAGAGTGCTCCACTAGAAATCCTCTCATTATTTACAACCACGAATCTTGCGATTTTTTCTGGCATTCTAAGGCATATTATCCATTTTATTAGCAATTTGCTTTAAAATAATGATGAGAATTTGCGATATAAACAGTTTTTTCATTTGTCGTGGATGGGACCCCTAAAATAAACGGAAAAACCGTCAGAAAACGATGCGTGACGTTTCAGGGTCAGAGGTCAATCCTGCCATCTAAGCAATGCGCCAGACTATCATTTATGTACCTGTTTTTAAACAATTGAATTAAAACTTTTCCGTAATAAATGAAGACTAGCGATGTTTCCAACAGATGCAGCCATGCTCATTTTACTATAGCAGCCATCTTGTCTAAGTTTTATTTTTATAAGCTTTTAGCGCCAGATTCAGGGGGAAGCCACTCTATTTTACAAATGGCTGCTGTTTATATAGCAAATCTTGCTCTCAGACACTGCTGTTTAAAGTTAATTTCTGGCCTATATCGATATATTTAGCCATTGATTTAGGTTTATTATTCATTTATCTATAATATTTGACACAAAAGTATGACAATATACTTTTATTAAAGCCTTGACAATGAGGTAACGTTTTCGTACATAAATAGCCGCGGGCGATTTTACGTACCCAAAACGATAGATTTCCGAATCGAGTATCGAGACCATCGTTTTAGGCACTTTTAGTTAGGTAGGCCTACGTAAAATCGCCCGCGGCTAGTAATGTACGTAAAAGTTACCCTATTGTCAAGGCTTTAATAATGTGAAATAATTAGTATTAGCCAGTATTAGGCCTAGCTAGGCCTATTCCTATTAATTATTAAAATTTAAGGAATCACCTGTTTTTCACATTACTAGTCGCGGGCGATTTTACGAAGGGCTACCTAAAACGATACATTACCTAAAAATTCCCCTAGGCCTAGGCCCTAATCAATTTTTAATTTATCAATCAAGGATTGACAATCATCCAATTCACAATTCCAATCAGATCAGACGGCAGTCAGACAAATCATCAGTCCTAATCTAAACTAAAATTCTAAATTAAATAATAGGCCTAATAATAAAATGTAGGCCTACCTAATTTTAACTTCTAAGAACTAGACCTCTAGATCTAGATTATGAAGTAAGAAGTTTAAGAACTTACTTTATAAGATTACTAAGAAGATAACCAAAATGTAGGAGGGCCATTATTTTTTTCGAAGTGACTACTCTGAAAAAGATTTTTCCCCCTTGCGTCTTCATCTAGTGGACAGAAGTTACAAAACTCAATAGTTCTGCGCAAACGCAGTGACCTTAAATTAAGTACTAAATAGCATAGCTGCGCTTGGGTTAGGGCTACAGCTAGGGTTAGAGTTAAGGTTATGGTTCTGCGGTTTATTTGTAAACACACACATGCGCAGTACCATCGAAAACATCGCTGCCAAGGAAGGCAGTAGTTTCTTTCAATCTTGCATACATATCTTTTCTCGGCTAGAATAAAAAAAGTCAAAGGCATATGTCAAGAAAGTGTGCCATCATTTATAGTTGAACACTGAGCTCGTCAACTCAGTGATCTAACTCTAACATTCCTTTTTAAGAAGATTCCATTATTGTCCCAAGATTGTGGCATTATCAGACACTGGTACAACATAGAACCATCAAAGTCCTACCTGTACTAAGTACTATAGCCCTAATCCTAATTTCTGGCCATAACACTAAAGCTGGGAATACAACTCTATTAACAACCTAACATGTCTATTTTCTGTAGAGTATTCTATCATTTGACATAGATCTATGTAATATTAATATTATGAAATTTCAATAAGGTCTCGTCCTCCCATAAAATATTAGATCTAGAATAAAGATTGATCTAGGACTATATATTTTTTTTGAGATAAGCTTTTAAACAAAAAAGCACTGAAAATTTTAAGTAGCAAGCTATCAAGTCCCTGCAGTTTTCAGGAGCTGTAGTTTTGAAGATTCCTACTAGTTTACTATTGCCCAATAAATAATGCGAAATTAAGGCTGTTAAGTAGGTCCTTTACAAAATTGCATTCTTATCTATGGCTGATTACAATACAATAAATGCAGTAAATTTATTTTCAGTTTATCGAGCTCAAGCACTGGCGTTGATTTTTTATTACTAAGTTGAACCAACATATTGGACAAAATGAATTTTTTTACTAGCTAGGTTACTAATTTAATTATTGTTTTACAAGTTGACCGAACTAAAAAAAAAATCTACATCAACTGTGAATAGAATACTTAAATTACATCAAATTTTTTCACATTGGGTGTTTAGGTATTGTTATCCCAAGGTCGGGCGTGGGTATAAAAGCAGGAGTGAACAATTGTAATGGGGCTTTAAGTTAATAGTGGCTAGGGACGAGGGCTGCTGTGTAAAGTATAAAGATAAAAAAATAAAGTATTGAACATTTTCTTGGATTGTTTCCTTCATTGAATAACACTGATTATTTAGTAAGGTGTAGGCCTACTTAAGAATGTGTCCTTTAATCCTGGAAAATATTTTCTGGAACATATTTTATTATGTTTTTATGATGTTCTTTTTTGTAACTGATGAAAATACAGATGACCCCTTCTAGTTTTAAAACTTGTTTACAAAAGATTTGTTTTTACAGATGTTTACATGTCCACATCACCCAGCAGTCCGAACCAGTCATTGAACGTGCCACCAAACCACTCGTCTCCATTCCTCCCTGGATATCTTCTTGGTGATCATCATTCTTACCATCATGGTGTTGTAAGTTTGCTCAGTTGTAATCATTGATTAATACTTAAAACTATTCTTTAATTGTGGATATCTTCTGGGTGATCATCATTCTTACCATCATGGTGTTGTAAGTTTGTTCAATTGTAATCATTGATTAATACTTAAAACTATTCTTTAATTGTGGATATCTTCTGGGTGATCATCATTCTTACCATCATGGTGTTGTAAGTTTGCTCAGTTGTAATTATTGATTAATACTTAAAACTATTCTTTAATTGTCAGGGCAGTTAGAAAACTATTCATTCATTGTCAATGATAGAAGAAAACCATTCATCGCCAGTCATATTAGTACTAGGTTTTCTTTACAATTAGATCTAAAACGTAATTCAAAAGGAAAGCTCCCTTTTCAAACCTGACGGTCTATGGGGCAAGTGAAGTAGAGTTCACCTGTTTTTGTGACCTTGGCATATGGAGGTATAGTGCTGTCAGTATAGTGCCCAACCCTTAACTTTCCCTAAAGGGTGGACTCAGGGACGTACTAATGACTTGAATCCAGATTCAAACTCAATACTTTCAGGTTAGCAGTCTAGCACTCTACCGTTTGGCCAGCTGTCTCATAAAACCATAATTAGGTTTGCATTTATTTTTAATTTTTTCTCTATTTTGCAGACATCAAGCCCAAAGATTTGGTCATCTAATGCTGGACAAAGTCCCTCACAAAAGATGGGTCAATCTAATCAGTTGTCCATGACTCCAGCAGCTACTGGTCTATTGCGGTTAGTGTACACATTTTTTAGTTTTAAGTTAGTGGCAGGGCTGTGATGCCTAAACTGAGCTATAACCTTATTAAAAAAATAAACAATCCTCTATTAATTCTGTATTGTCTTGAATTGTACAAATAGTTAGTGTCTAAACCTACTTTTAGCATGTTTCAATTAATCTCTTGTTATAACTATCAGGAGAGAATCAGTGCGAGGGAAGCCTGGGGGTCCGCCAACCAAAACTCTCTACTCTAGTCCTACTTCTGTGGAGAACTCATTTTCACAGGTAAGTCAGTCAACAACTCATTTTCACAGGTAAGTCAGTGAACAGCTCATTTGCACAGGTAAGTCAGTGAACAACTCATTTTCACAGGTAAGTCAGTGAACAGCTCATTTTCACAGTTCAGTGAACAACTCGTTTTCACAGGTAAGTCCGTGAACAACTCATTTTCACAGGTAAGTCCGTGAACAACTCATTTTCACAGGTAAGTCAGTGAACAGCTCATTTTTACAAAAAGTTTATTCAGTTCACGAAACTCAACTTCTTTATCATCGGTAACTTTTTTCAGGATATGTTTTCAACTAATAGAACATAGGTGACGATTCATTTTTTAGCATTCAAGCCAGCTCTCTTAAGCACACATATCATTTTCACAAAAACAATTTTTTTCTTGAACCTACTGAGTAATCTGGCTTTTTAAAAACTAAGTTTACTCATCCTATGTTTACCAAATTCCATGTTTGCTTTTAAATAAATATTTGACAAGCTAGACGGCTGATCAATTGACATTGATCCTTGTGGTTAGTGTTACTCAACAAGATTCTGATCCTTGTATAACTAAGATTTATATGTAAATTAAACCAGCAATCTTTTGGTAATTTTATTCAGCTTTTATTGATCACTTTATAAATGTCAAACTATTTCTACTCTTTTTCATTAGACCATATTTGATGCTCACAGTCTCATTACTTTTTGGTATAAATGCTAGGCTAATAGTGTTGCATTGGGTTACAATCTTAATCCATAGGATTTTACTGTTCATTCAGCTCTAATAGGTTACTAACTTGAATCAGGCATAGCACTGAACGCTAAATCTCTTGTTAATTTGTTATGCTAAAGTGACTTATCTAATATCTCTTAATTCTTCATAATCAGCTCATTGATATTTAAGAACTTAATTTTGTTTTAATTAACTTAATTGCAAACCCACTAATTTAATTGCAAATCTACTAAGTCAACTGCCCTCTCTCACAGGCGCTAACTCCAGGCTCAAACAGAAATCAAACAACGCCCATGCTGAGGCCGATGACAGGCACAGCACCCCCCACAGCTGGTTAGTATACACTGTTGTGATCTGCTAGTTCACCTCACTATTGTGTAATGTCTAGACTGAGAACTGTTGTGTTTCATGAAGCTTAAAATAATTATCAAAATAAAATAGTAAAATTATTTGATTAGTTATAGATTTAGATACTGGTGATATAATAGATAACAATATTGCATTCCTTAACTAAGGAATATCCTATCGACTATAGTTCAACTATATCAACGTCTCTGCATTATCTGTTGTGTTCCAAGTATTGTTATCAAAGATACCATATTGTCCATATAACAGTCTAGGTATCGACACATACCAAACAATTTTTTTTACAATCATCATGGTCAATAAAATAATTTTTTTATGTACTGCAACAACCACACAATGTAATATAATAATTTAGGTGGAAATAATAAAATATTTTAACTGACTATTTAATATCCAGAAGTATTAACCAAAGCACTGAATGTTCTAGGACTGTTTCAAACCCCTGGGCCATCACGAGATACAAGTCTACAGATGTTGAACCAGAGCCAGACCTTGCCCATCTCTCCTGCACAAGTTGACCCCTTCTACACACAAGGGTAGGTGCCTGTTCATGTCAAAACTTGTTTTAATTTTTACTTTGTTTGGAATTAAAATATTAATTAGTTCGAATTAATTAATTTATACTCTCCTTGTTTGCCAAAGTGAGTGTAAAAAAAATTTATGTATATATACTAGCTTCCCGTTAAAATTTGTCAAAATAAAATTCTTCAGTGTACTGATCTAGATGACACTGACCGTGTAGCCCCATTCACCTTGTGACTATTCAGTGGCTTCATGGGGTCAAATGTCACCCAGTGCTGTAACTCAGTGTGTCACTCCTTTCTTTCAACTACATAACATTTTGACTTTGTTGTTGATCTTCTCCCCTTACTGTTATATATTATTTCAACTGGATAAAAAATTTATTGGATTTTAAGTGAATTTTTCAATTTGGTGTCCCTGGTACAGATGACACCCCTCGCCCATGCCTTACAGTAACTTACAGTGTTACTTATCTATTGTTAATGATTTTTGTTATTTGTAGAATACAATTGCTTCCTATATTATTAGCAATATATTTATTTTTATAATCAGTCATAATATTTAATTGATTTTGTCTCCCAATTTTGCAGAGATTTATAAAATAACTGCAGTACTGATTAGATTAGCATTATATTTGTTTATTTCTTAAAATCTCATCTAAGATTGTAATGATTTTTATATTTTCCCATTGTCCAGAGATTTAAAGTCAGACGATGTATTGGATGAAACCTGGGTGACAGTGTTTGGGTGAGTACGTGAACACACTCTCGTGTTGTACCCTCTTAGACCAGTTAGTCCATGGCATAGAGGAAGTAGAGTTTTTCTGGGCTTTTTAAGTTATCACATAAAATAGTTCCTTACTTAACATGAGTCAGGTATCTGTCAGAGATGGGTGGACACAGGGACACCCTATAAACAAGACTTTTAGATTTTTTTTAGACTTTTATCAGTTCTGCTATTAGCCATAAAGAGTAGAAATAGAAGGTATTGGCATATACACCCAGACTGAAAAAAGAAATAAAAATAAGCAATGATTGTGTATGGAGTGGGTGGGTGTTTTTAGAAAACTGGAAAAGGGTATTTGAAAAAAAAAAGATTTCCAATAAAATCATTCTTGTTGCTATAAACTCTTAGTTTAAGTGTTTAAACAGTGAGTTATAATTTGTCTCATTGTTTTTCGTTTCAGCTTTCCACCTGGCGCTACATCTTTCATTATACAACAGTTTTCACAGTACGGGACCATTCTTAAACATGTGGTAAGTTTGACTTTATTTGTAGTTTAACACCAATTTTGTAATCTTTTTTTTTTGGTTCTATTGTCTTATTCTGTAGTTTTATTTTCTTACTCTGTGGATTTAAAGTCTTATTTTTTTGTTTTATAGTCCCTTTATAGATTACCATTTTATAGTTTTACTCTGGTTTTATAGTCTTAATCTGTGGTTTTGTAGTGTAACTGCTGATTTATAATCTTAATGTGGTTTTATAATACTACTCCCTGATCTTAATAATGCTATATAATCTTATTCTTGTGTTGTGTAGTCTCTATATTCATCAGTAAAAAACAGACCCTTATACCCCAAAAATAAATGCCGACAAATGAAGCAAGGTATTTAGTAATCTTGTTAAATACTGTGCACTAACTTCTATTGTTCTGTTATTTCTTCAGGTCGCCGCTGAGTGCAACTGGATGCACATACACTATTTGTCTAAACTGCAAGCTAAGAAAGCTCTAAGCAAGGATGGGAAAATTTTTGGGGGTTGTATGAAAATTGGTGTCACACCCTGTATTGAAAAGGTAAACATTTTTAGTCCTTTACATTCTTTTAAACAGACACAGCCAACATAAATTATACCTCAATTAAATATTTTATTATACTGTAGTGTTATGGCAATATTGTAAAATTACTGTTTATTTAAACATTAAAGCTTGTAATAGAAAAAAATTATGTCAGTGCTAACTGTTAATCGTTATTAAGAAGATGGTTGCCGGAAGTGAGAGCGTATGATTATACTCCAAAAGTACTGAGTTCAGAGGCTCTGGTCAGATGAGACTCTTTAGCTGGGGACAGCAACCCATCTAGAAAAAGAAACTCAAAAATTAAACAACTGCTGCCTTGCAGATTGTTCTTTGGTGGACATATTCAACTGAAGCACATTCAGAAAAAATATCAGACTAAAGTTGGAGTCAATGGGCCATAAATTGTTGAGACGAATACTTAATTGTTAAAGGAAATCCCCTTCAATATTACAATGAAGAACAAAGTAGATTAGGATTAAATGTTAAATCAAATGTAAAACACCTGTGTACAATTTTGAAAAAAAGGGAAGCATTACATTTTGAACTTATTCTTAATATTTTGAGTAAATTTTACAAAAAAAAATAACAAAGGTAAAAGGTGTATATAATATTTTTTTATTTGAAGAGATTGTTTTTGTTTTATAAAAGTCCAGTTGTAACAAAATGGGCTGTTTTTTGGCAGGCAATTATGGAGGAGAAATCAAATAGTTCAGTTAATGACTCCATGAGGTCTCAGACTGATAACAATGCTTCAACACCCACACCCATACGTCCATTAACTGCAGCATATGTTGCTTCTAGAGGGGAGTATGAGGTAAGATAAACACCTTCTCTTTTGTCTAAAATATATACTAAGAAATAAATAAATTCAATATTCATAAACCAGAAACAGCTATTAAACGATTCATGACAATTTAAAAAAAAAACTAATCAGACTAGGGTTGAAGTAATGTGGTGGTGATTTTGTGTAATAATTTTTTTACCATTAATTTTTAAAATAAAAAGTGCAACCTTAATTAGGGGATAATTATTAGGTCTTTATGTAATCATATTATCTCTGCACACCCTGTTTAGTTTTGCATTTTTTAACGTTCATGTTATTGGAATGGATGTTAGCCCATAATAATAAAAAGGTTTTCTTTCCTTAAAATTCTGAAGCATGCAGTTCAATTATAAAAATTCTCACCCTTATATTGGTAATATTTCATATATATATATCAATAAAATTTAAAATATATTTAAATCTTTAAAACAAAACATCTATAAAATTAAAAGCTGTACAATATCAGGAATTTATGTATTTTGTCAGGTAACATTTTCGATAGTTGGGCAATTTAAAATAATAAATATAAAGCAAAATATGAAGTTTCTTATTAATTTCATGTTTTTTTATAGTGTACGCAATTTTTTTCTCCTCCACTAGGTGTTACGAGATAACCCAACACCGAAAAGAGACGCCAGCCTCGTGTCCAAGTTAAAAGAATACATGTTTGGATATTGAACTCTGATATGTGATCCCTACAGATGCCGCTATTGTATATAGTTTTAACTGTTGTCTTGTTGTTGAAGTAATAAGAAGATGCTCATATAATCTGCTTTTATTTTTAATTGTACGAACCATAAACTAATATTTCAATAAAATGTAGACAGGTAAACTATAACTGTCTGTGCAGGAAAAATTTGCTCAAAGTAGTGTTTTTTTTTCTTCTTATTTGAAGTTGTGTGTTGTTGATTGGTCTGAATTGTTAGAAAAGTTACCCCTTTGAATCTATTGCTCTGTACAGCAGATGAAGTAGTGTTCACCAGTTTCTGTTACCTTGTCATATGCTCATACTCCTTTACTTTCCGTTAAGTCTATGTTGGCCTTGAACCATGTTACAGTCCTATCCTATATTTTCAGGATAAATTTTGTAAGAGCTAAATCACTTGTGTAAACACCCGTTTCCTCCCCCCCCCCCCCCCCCCCCCCATCTCATGCCACCCCCACAAGTAAAATAAACCCCAACATTTAATGCAAGATATTTTTCCCTACATATTGATCTAATGGTATATTACACTATATTTTATGCCTTTCTATGGAACGTAAGACAAATGAGTTCCGTAATTAGCATTGGCCAACCTGTTTCTAGCATCATCTATAGAAATATTATATGGTTTATATTTACCCACACACAAGTAGGATACATGTTTGTCATTAGATGTTTTGGCCATTTCTTTTAATTTCTTCTAGTTTATAACTATATATATATATATATATATATATATATATATATATATATATATATATTTATATATACATATAAATTACATACAAACCTTTGACTATTTAACAACCCACTATCTATTAGTGTTATCTATACTGCCATAGAAAAAAAATTGCGTGGGGTGATGCAAGACCTCAGGAGAAATTGGCTCTTCTGGAGCAATGTGTTAAGGTGTCTACGTGAAGCAGGGGCGTAGCGAGGGGGGGGGGGGTGCGGACCGCACCGGGAGACACCATTTAGGGGGGTGACGCCAAGGCAAAAAATAGCAAAATATATAGAGAAAAACTTGAGGGAGGGGGGTGCAAATCGAAAACTTGAGGGGGGGGGGTGCAAATCGAAAACTTGAAAGTTTGTCCCCGGGAAGGGTCGCAACGCCTCTGGGGGGGGGGGGGGTGACACCATTAAGTGCCGCACCGGGTGACACCCGACCTCGCTTCGCCACTGACGTGAAGATGAGTACTTTCCAAGAACTAGACTATTAATCATTGCCTAAACTTAGTCTAAAGCAGCGTTATTTTTCTCCCATCTTTATTGTTTCTGCCGGTGCATATATGTAATGCCACGTCATAAATCTTGGCTCTTCTAGCTGAACATAACTTTCGTTCTATAATTAAAACGACGAAATACTTTTACAAATTGTAATTCTAATGTGTCGTCTTGTTTATTTAATAGGCTAGTTTAGAACTAGAATGTTCGGGATCTAGTTCTAGTTTGCAATCTAGATTTTAGCCTCAGGACATAATGTATTTCTATGTAAATAATGATGACAATGTTATTCACAAATATATATATATATATATATATATATATATATATATATATATATATATATATATATATATATATATATATATATATATATATATATATATATATATATATATATATATATATAATCTACACCTAAATATCACGATAAAAAATATTCTTTTTTTTAAAATCCGCCTGAAGATGGGGAGGGGGGGGGGGGGAATCTTGTTTTTTTGAAAATAAAAAAATTCATTTCCGCTTCCTGTTAATTTTCCAACGGTTTTTTGAACCAAAATCTAGACTCCAGACAAATCTGTCTATAGATCTAGATCCAGACCTCTAGATCCAAGAGTTAAAAGGATAGAATCAAGAGAAATGTAAATATTTTCGCTTTTCCGTGTTGTTTTTTAATTTAGTAAATTTAAATTAAAAATTTGCAGACTTGAAGCGTATTAATTCGCGCTTCACGTTCACGTCCTTCAGTCAGTTGAGCGTAGGCCGTAGGTAGGGGGTAGTTTATTTATTATTGTCATATTTAGATCTAGACCATAACTAAGCATATTACAATACTGAAACACAATAACGTGAGGGAAACTCTGGATTATGGTAATCTATCGTTTTAGCGTAATCAATTCGGCTGCAGTAGTAATGTGCGGGAGAGGTAGCTGATGAATATATTTGTTTAAATAAGTTTATTTAAGTCAAATTTTACAAGATATAACAGATAATTGATTTAAAATAACAACCAGTGACCAAAACAATTTAAATAACATGAAACTAACTTTAAACTAAGTGTTTGAGATAAATATTAGTAGAAAAAAACAGCGGCCATCTTTCCAAATAAAATTTAGAGTAGTTTCCCTGGATACAAATGTCTATTCGTATGTATATTGTGTTGACTTTGTTGTTTAATATACATAGCTGTCTTGTTTAATATAAGTAAGACAGAGGGCCATCTTCTTATCTTAAATTTCATTTTCAAGTGAAATGAAGGCTATGTAATGTATGTACATCCAAGATCTCAAAAAATTTTGGGAGGTCCAACATTTACTAAACCCTTTTGTACTGATTAGGGGTCGTCCATAAATGACGTCACAATCGTAGGAGGGAGGGGGGGGGGGTCGGTAATTTTGTGACGATGTGTGATGAGGGGGGGGGGGGAGGGGGTTCAGATGGTGCGACGTCACACTTTTGCTTTATAGATAAGAAATGTTAAAAAACGAATTTTAGACCTTATTTAGCGTTTTAGAAAACAGTTTTAATAAATTATAATAGGAATTGATTAAAATACTATATTTTGACATATTTCAGACAAGATTTTGGAAAAATATCGATGTTTAAAAAACAAAATCAACTGCAATTTTGAAGGGGGGGGGGGTGGTTGTAGGCTCCTTCCTTCTTCTTCTTCGTTCTTAATTATTCGTGTTGAAGGGGATCGAGATTTATCTGCCAGAGGGTTTGAACTCGAGACTTTGTTCGAATTTATCAACCATGAACTTTTTGCCGACTCGACCACGCCTCCAACACAATTAAGCGTTACGTGTCAACTGGTTATGCCTGCTTTTTCTTTTTGGATTTGCTTCCATAGCCTTTGTCCAACCAAGAACAAAGTACAAGGCAGCAGTTGTTTAATTTTGGAGTTGTCTCTCCTAGAAGAGTGGCTGTCCCCAGCTAACGAGCCTCATCTGCCCGAGGGTTCGAACTCGAGACTTTTCGGTTTAGCAACCATGAGCTTTGCCGACTCGACCACGCCGACCCCTTGTAGGCTGATGTGTGACGTCATTTTAGAGGGGGGGGGGTCTGACTTTTTGTGACGACGTGTGACGGAGGGGAGGGGGGGGTTAAAATCGTCAAAAAGGCGTGACGTCATTTATGGATGACCCCTTGTCAATTATTAGGTCGTCCATATTCCTCATAAATGACGTTGGACTCAAAATATGGGACGGTGTAAAATATTTTTTCAAAAATGATGAAGAATATATTCGTTTTCGTTAGAAATTGTGATTAAGGGTTCGGGTATAGTAGAACTGCGATATGATATTAAATCATCATCTTGCTTTTAGTAACTATTGGGTGAGAGGGAAATTGTCGGGAAAAGTATGACGTCATTTATGGGCGATCCATTTAATTAAGCCTAGTTGTTTATTTTGTCTGTAGACATTAGTCTTAGGCCTACACTTTTTCTGAATTAAGATTATTGTGTTTTTTAAAATAGGTTCAAATTTTAATTAGTTACATTTGAATACCACATGGTTTTTTTTTTTCTTTGCCTTCTGCTGTCAACAGTTTTTTATTTCTTCAGTAGTCAATGTTTACCCCTCCCCACCATCCATTATTACAACAACAAAAAAACACCCACTATATGTGTCATAGCGTAGATATATAGAATTAGACGAGTAGAGGTTACTAAGGACGGTACGAACTTGACGGTAGACGATTTGGTGCGAGAGTATTGTGCGCGTGTTCAATAAAATATGTGTGGCGTGAGTGTGACGTGAGCATGGTGCGACAATGTACCGATGACGTAAGACACAGCAGTGAAGTTAGTTGGGGGTTAGATATAGTAGAAGACGGACGTATTATTTGATATTGTGAAAATGATCTATAAGTGTGTGTTAATAAAGTTCATGTTATTTCATAAACTAAGTTGTTGACATTGTTAATTAGTGTCTGCGGAACATAAGAGTGATTCCCGTCCTCCTCACGAGTATAATAGTTGCCGTATGAATAGTAGTAGATCAGAATATATTGAGATTATATATAAACCGCCCATCACAATATAGTGATATCCCCCTCTAGAAAAAAAACTAAATCAACGTATAGTTCGTAGGAAAATTAGAATCTATCACTTAGTCGTCTGTTAAAAAAAAAAAAAAAAAGAAATACGTCATTTTTCTCAACCACGCCGTTTCATCCCCCACTAAGCACAACGTCACAAAGTTCGCGGCGCGCGTGACGTCATTTGTCATTAGGCTAATGTTTAAGAAAGATACCGCGTAATTAAAAAAAATCAAAACAGGCACTAAATGACTATGGAGTTGAGACTTAAGCTACTTTTAGCCTGACGAATAGATCTAAATGACTTTAGTTCGGTGAATTATATTGGTGTTTAATTTATTCCAGTGGCATGATGTTCTCCCTCTACTATACAAATTCACGTGGTTTTAATTTCTGCAACATGCTGCCCTGACACGTTCGGCTCTAAAATGCCCGTGACACAGCGGCTTCGGTAAATGCATTTAGGCTCCCGGTCCCACCTATAAACGTCTATCCATTAAGCTCCACGCAAAACTTGTGATTATTATGTGGACATGCGCTAGTGGTGGTGTCAACAGGGGCCAAGCTCAGGTCACTTAAAGGTGCTCCGCACTTCATAAAAGACAAAATTGATGTTCAGATATCGTCGGCCTCTGGCGTTTTGCCGACGGCCGTACTCCTAATGCACAGTCTTAGAGGCTGTCCACTGCTAACACTATTTTATGTTAAATTCAAGCCTATACTGAGCTGTGGCTTTATATTAGCTCATTTGGAGTTAATATAGTGCGGCCTAATTTCGTCGGTAGGCATTTTCATTTAGTGGCAGGCCCTTTTTGGCGGGGATGATGTGCTGAAGTTGTTTAACACCGCTTAGTATAACAGGCATGCAATAGTTATGATCATTCGTTATG